ACAGGACAATGGACCAACTTGACTCGTTAGGATCTATGCGTCTGCGTTCTAATTAACCGTATATATGCACGTCGATCGATAAGTAACAAGTATTAAGTATTCCCAAGTATCGAGTATCGATTCCATCCTTCGACTAGGTATATAAGTACGTTTATCGTAACGATACTTGAGATACTTAATCGATACAATTTCAACAGGAAGCAGGCACCAATAGCGAGCAAAAAGCAACAACTTTCGTGGAAGAAACCACGTTCGCTTGTCATCGTTATCATCGAAAGTACGCCAGTCGTTATCGTATATAGGAGGAGGTGGCAAACTCTGCGGGAAGACTCATCAAGGCAGCAAAAGCAAAATAATAAGAAACAACGCAAACAAGGGCGATGCAACGGAGCAAAGCGACGGCATCGGCATCGCGCGACTAGAGTTAGCCGTCTGGTTGTGCTCGGTCTTGCTCTAGAGCGAGAGAGAGAGAGAGAGAGAGAGAGAGAGAGAGAGAGAGAAGTCGCGGGGAGTCTCACTCGTAAGAGATAGATCTGCTAGCTTGGCGCCAGCAGGTCGTGATGGAAGCCGAGCGAAGGCCGCCTCGAGCGCTTCGTGCCTTGCTATTCGTTCGTTCGTTCGTTCGTTCGTTCGTTCGTTCGTTCCTTCGATCGTTTGTTCGTTCGTTCGTTCGTTCGTTCGTTCGTTCGCTCGCTCGTTCGTCCGTCCGTCCGTCCGTCCGTCCGTCGTTCATTTGTACGTTCGTACGTTCGTTCGGTTTTTGACAATACGCGAGAATGTGCGGAAACATCAAGTATATCAAGTATATAAGAGTGAGAGACGAGAGAAAGCGGAATATCGCGAATGATGTGTTGTCTCGTAAGACTTTCTTATCATTTACCCTGCCTCTCTCTCTCTCTCTCTCTCTCTCTCTCTCTCTCTCTTCTCTCCTTTTGACGTACGAAAAGCGCTCACGGGTACGCGCTTAACGGTCGAAAAACTATGAAGAATGTAGGAAATAATAATCGATCAAAGCAGCCAACTTTTTCCTCGTCGTATCTATAGTCCTTTTCGCTGCACGATCCAATTATTGCTTCTTCTTCGTCTTCGAATGAATTACTTACTCGTTCTTCTTTGAGAGAGGAAAGATTTTTTCGCAGAGCTACTTCGTTGGGAAATATTTTATTTGTGCGTACATTTCGGACAAGGAAGCGAGTTTCAGAAAAAGACTTCCTTTCGAGTGAATACAATTCTCCCATGACGGTGCCATTAGATCGTACGTGTCTAGAGAGGACGTAGGTAGACTCTACGATCTCGAGGAAAAGTAAAATGTAAGAGAGTCGACTATAAGGTGCGTCGGCGAAAAGGATAGGTCAGCTTGGCGCCATCGGGTCGTTCCAAGTCGAGGCGAAGGCCGCGCGAGTCTCCTATGCTGTCGTTGCAGTTTTACTGCTCCTTTGTTACACCTATCATCGGCATTACCGTCCGCCTGCGGGGGCCGTTCCGCTGGTTGTCCACGTAAAATCTCGCTCTTCCATTCTGTTATATATTCTGCTATACTCATATCGTCCCAAGATATCTTAGTTCGATAAGGTGAACAATTAACATCTTTTTATCGTCATTTTATCGATGCTCTTATGAGAATAATGGATAATTATGCGATAGGTAGTTTTTTTAATTTTCCTTCCCGATGCAAAAACTTGGTTATTTCGATCGCTGATCGAATCGAATTATGTCCACGTCTCGTAAGTTCATAAAAGTTATATTTGTTCGATTTGATAGATAAAGCGCGTTTGTCCATTTTTCGCGCGTACAGCAACCGAGATAATTAAATGGAATTATTAATTAGCTCGAATTATTGGCACAACGTAATACTCGAAACAAGAAAGTTTCTCCTCTCTTCTATTGTGTTACCGAGCGTTCGTTCGATCCGCTTATGTACTGTCGAACGTGCGTGCGCGCGCGCGTTCCTTGGACCATTTCCAAAACTACTATTCGCATATTACCATATCCCGATAACGAGGCGGATCTCTAATCGGACGACGTGCTTGTATTTTCTAATTCTCTACTTATCCTAAGCGTTTTATAGACAATGCAATTATATTTCGTATATACATGATAGGCAGTTTAATTCCTTTTTGAATGAATGCACAATTGGTCTAAAATTGTTTGATCAATCTTTAGTTTCACACATTGGTTTCTAGAAATGGCGATAATACATTTATCTCGTGGCGTAAAGGCCAGTCAGAAATTCGTCCTTTTTCCGGTCGTTAAGATATTGGCCTTCTGCCAAAATAATTTCATTCCTAGTTTTGCATTTAAAAATATTACATAGCAAAGCCCTTTCTCTCTCTCTCTCTCTCTCTCTCTCTCTCTCTTCTTGCGTTTCCTCCTCGGCACGCTTTTAATATATAGGTGAGAGAGCATGCCCGTCAGAATCCATGGAAAAACACGATACGGTTTACTCGGTAAATTTCCTACGTGGCTGGCTTATTCCTCGATAAAAAGAACCCATGCTAATTCATCGTCGGCGAAGCGTTCTCGTTTTTTTCACGGATGAACTATTGCGATTTATGATCATCGCTCTTTTCTCTCTCTCTCTCTCTCTCCCCTCTTTTGTCTACTTTTGTACGAAAATCGGTAGGTGCATATCCAATCTATCCATATATCAAAAATTATTTTCCTTTCGTGGGCCAATACAAGCACGATAAAAGTTTGGGAATAACGAATCGAATAGGCAGGAAAATAAGTAAAACCCCATCGGCATCCCCAAAGAGCATCGATAATTGATCCAGTTGTAAAATTATCGACTAAATTAACTGCCATCGTGGCGACTCGCTACACAGCTTTTTCCGATAAACGACCTCGTTATAGCATCCTTCCTCTTCTATGCACATTACCCATTGCGCGTAATAAAACTGATATACTTTATGCTAGGGGTGTCCAAGCTCTTTGGGTTGTCTGAGTCATATAAAAAAAAAATTATATCGTAGCTACTGTCCTGTGTAAATTTTTGTAGTTGACGCGAAATAGTCTCGTTAACTTTTTTAAGATCCGAAAGAAAGAAATGTAAAATAAAAGTTGAAAGATAAAAATATAAACTCATCAAAGTGAATATAGGTAATCACTTTTTCTAGTGATTCGCTGGGCGAATGCACTCGAGGATCGATCGCAATGCCACAATATCCTGTCGAATTTATAGAGTTTATTATCGTGAATGTGCGAGGAAGAAGACAAGATAAAAATACTTGAGAACATCTTCCACGGCCGATGAGTCCATAGATATTCCATAATATGCATTATATAAAACGGTTCAACGAACCGATCGATCGAATTACTTCCGAAGATCTTATTTTTATCTCGATACTCTTTTATCAAGAACTCGCGTTTCTCTACCCCTCTCTCTCCCTCTCTCTCTCTCTCTCTCTCTCTCTCTCTCTTTCTTTTCGTATAAGTCGGTATTTTTAACAAAATATCACTTTTAGACAAATATGTTTTATAAATATATAGCTAATAAGGAACTTTGCGTATTGTCGTGCAATTCGCTTTCAACAGTTTTAATAATATTATTAGCGATAATGATAAGAATTTTAAAGAGAAGGAGATAGATGAGATAATGTTCCAAGACGTATCGCGCTTTGTTAAAGCAATCGATTCATTCAATGGTGTAACTATAATATCTATTATATTTCCTTATCGATCGCTTTAAGAATATCCATCTCCCTCTTCCCCTCTTTCTCTTACACTCCATTCCTTCTGGTTCTTGCGAGGGGAGCATTCGAATCGTGTACTTCGGGACACAACGCAGCTTATCGAAAGCGAGAAAGGAACGGACATCTTACGATATGCCATCTGTCCTTCCTAAACCTCGTTTGACCCACCAAAATTCAACCATCGTATCTTCCTTTTTTCTTCTCAATCTTTTCGAATGATATCGTTTCTATCGTGTCATTTTTCATTCCGTTTCCATATGTATGTATGTATCCTTAATTTTATTATACGTTACGGTATATAAAGATCGCTAAAAATAATATGGAAATAATTATTAAACACCGATTTCATCATTGACCATTTATCCGTCGATATTGAGAGTGTTGTGAAAGGCGAATAGTAATAAATTTAAATATTACGAAACGGGCAAGTCCGGACTACTTGCCAGGCGTAATTTATATATAAAATTCGTGGTAGGGAGCGATAGGTTGTGTAAATCAAGAAAAAAGGATCCCATATAACGTAGGCAAACGGTACATAGAAGAGGCTCTGTCCAAGTGCCGCAAGAAAGGGCACTCGAAACTCCACGCACCTTACTTCCTATCTCGTTTACACAAGACTTGAGGTTTTAAAGACGTGCCGTAACTTGGTACGCGTACGTATATGTGTGTGTGTGTGTGCGTGTGTGTGTATATATATATATATATATATATATATGTACATATCGACAGTGCAAATTCATCCTAGGCAACGCGAGCGGCAGCTTTTGCTAAACCACCTAATACCAAGATTTATTACATCTATTCGTTTAAGATGGAATATAATATACATACATATATATATATATATACATATATAAAGAGAGAGAGATTGTACAATGTATTTAATGCTTGTACCATATCATAAATTATTAGGGCCGCGTTAGAGTTTCTTTTGGCAGAATCGTCATCGCCTAGATATGCGGACAATATCGCCGGTCATTATGGTGAGGGTCCTACGAAAAGAGAAAGTTTCGTCGATTTGACATAATTTAAATACTTATGTTTAAATAAATATTTGTTTAACCCAACTCTACCGATTGTTGTCATAATATCTCAGCGCTTAAGCCGATAAGAATAATTGGATCGGCCTAATTTCTCAAGAAATTAAACAACGCGTTCTCTTGTATGAAGATGCTTTCAGTTAAACGTGAAAACAAGTCGAATAATTATTACTATATAAATTAGATGTAACTGCTCTTTCGCTTCCTCCATGCTCCTGAACAAATTCATTAAAATTAAAATCCGGTTACTCGTTTCTTCGACTGACAGCGCCATTTCTCGAAATCTGGTAAAATGAGGAATAAGAAGAATAAGAGGAAGGATAAGGAGAAGAAGAAGAAGAAGAAGAAGAAGAAGGAGAAGAAGAAGAAGAAGAAGAGGAAGAGGAAGAAGTAGAAGAAGAAGAAGAAGAAGAAGAAGAAGAAGAAGAAGAAGAGGAAGCGAAAGAGGAAGGATGGATCGCGTTGACCGAAAGCAATTTCTTTGTTCCCTCAGGCCTGCACTTGCGGAGCATCGAGGAGCCGAGGATGACGGCGGAGACGGCAGCTCCTTGTCTGCAGGGGGTGCAAGGGGTGCAGGGCGTTATGGCGGGTCAGGGCATTTTGCAACAGGTGCAAGATGGAAAGTCCACGGGAAGTTATTACACCTCGACTACGACCGTCTACGATCCGGAATACGCTCGGATGGAGGCCTGGCTCGACGAGCACCCCGACTTCGTCAATGATTATTTTCTCAGGTTCGTGCACAGGCCAAGTGCTTTTTATTCTCTTTCCTTTCACTTTTATCCCTTTCTATAATATTTATATATTTATCTTTATCGTTTGTTTTTGATTGTTGCTGGCCGATAACGCGAGAACGAGTTGCTTGGATAAGACGATTAAACTTTCTACGATAAGCTTTATAAAATAATATCGAAGCAAAGCGATAGGTAGACGTCGCGTAGGGTACGTTGATTAATTCCGACCAGATTAAGTACCAATAAGTCCAAGTTAAAAGTCGGAAGGTACCTTTACTTTTACTTACTTACGATAGTCGTACGGGTCGTATACGAATGACGTCGACGTCAGGCATAATTAACGGTTTTCGTTTAACGTTTGGCTTGCCTACGTAATAACGCATTAAGGCATATATTCCGCGTTACACTTTCTCCTCGTTATTGTAAAATATTCGGAGAAAAGAATTCTTTCGCAACAATGAGACCTACGATTGAATAAATTTAAACCTAACGATTGTTCGTTTAATCGACGAACTTGAATCAATTCGTTTAAATTGATTAGAAAAATGAAAGATATTAGGGAGCGGGGTAACAATTTGCGTCGAACCAACTCTGACGTAAATTCTATGCTGTATTTAATATTAATTCGAGGAGAGAGTAATTACGAGTCTCTAACGAGTTTTCGAGAGTTACGGTAGTAGCGCACGTTATGCGAGGTAGCCAACGGTTAATAAATTGTTCCTTCGTTCGGACGACAACGAGAGGACGATGACTAATTTTGTGTTAAATAGAAAATGCTCTCTCTCTCTCTCTCTCTCTCTCTCTCTCTCTCTCGCTCTCTCTCTCTCTCTCTCTGGGATGCGAGGGTTTTCGGTCTCCTCTCATTGAAAAATAACAGTTACGACGTCGCGCGACGCGTCATCCCTTGCATGTCGAATGCGTTGTCGCATGGTGTGTTCCTGTCAATTATGCAAACGGCTAAATTAATCGGGCCGACGCGCAATCCGCACATCCGCGTCGTAACGTCGCGGGACGAGAGCGAAATATGTTATCGGAAATTGTCCCTAACTCTTCCTGCGCGCAATCCTGATTATCCGCGCGTCCTCGGCTAACGTTTCAACTAGTTCATTCGTTTTGAATTTAATTGATACAATGATGTTATAATCATATCATCCTATCTATGGCAGGAAGGTGACACGGCAAACGGTAGACATGTGGTTAGTCTCGCATGCGACGCCAACGTCCTCGTCGAGCAGCTGCATCGAGTTGTCCAGTCCAACGCACCCCGGTGGTTCCTCGTCCTCGGGTCGAGGTGCCTCCAGCGGCGGTTCCGGGGCCACGACGCCGGTCAGAAAGATATCCGCACACGAATTCGAGCGAGGTGGCCTTTTGAAACCAATCGTCAATACGATCGACGGTACGCCGACCTTCCTAAGCGTTTCCTCCGGGGAGACGGATCAATCCGGTGGGCAACCAGTTGGCTCGACTAATTCTGCACGATCCCAAAGACGATCTAGGCACGAGCTAAGGCATCTGGACGAGAAGGATCTTATATTCGAATTGGTTCGTTTCTTTTAATATACTGCCGCTTATATTAACGATACGACATTATTATACTCTTTAGTTCATTTTTTGACATATAATTCATGCTAACGTGGTTGGTACCCAACAGGTCAAGGATATTTGTAACGAGTTGGATGTCAGATCTTTGTGCCATAAGATCCTTCAGAACGTGAGCACTTTGCTACACGCCGATCGCGGTTCTTTGTTCCTTGTCCAAGGCGAGAGGGGTGGCGGACACATACCTTCCTTACAAAATCACGAGGCGAACGTTAACTATGGAACCGACAATGGAACGTCCCGAAGGTCTGGCAATCAGGGTTGCGGTCAAACCTATTCGAAAAGTAGGTGCCTCGTTTCTAAGCTCTTCGACGTTTGCTCGAGGTCGACTCTCCTCGAGATGGAGAAGAAGGACGAAATCAAGATTCCCTGGGGAACAGGGATCGTTGGTTACGTCGCCGAAAGCGGAGAACCCGTCAACATACCAGACGCTTATAAGGTTCTTCCTATCTTTAGCTTTAAATTAATTAAATTAGCCCGAAATTGAATGTTGTTATGAAGTAAAGTCGGTCGGTGTAAACGAACCGGAACGCCAATAATCGAACGGAATTATTTGTTACATTAAGGATTCGAGGTTTAATCGTGAGATCGATGCGCTTACGGGATACAGAACGAGAGCGTTGTTGTGTATGCCGATCAAGGATTGCAACGGCGACGTCGTCGGGGTCGCCCAGGTCATCAACAAGCTCGGCGGAGAGGCGCAATTCACGGCGCAGGATGAAAAGGTCTTTGCCGGTTACTTGCAATTCTGCGGAATCGGCCTGAGGAATGCCCAACTTTACGAGAAGAGTCAGTTGGAAGTGAAGAGAAATCAAGTACGTACGATGGAAAGAACGTTTTTCAACGGCAAATTATTCCATTTTCTGACGTCTACCGACGTCCATTTGAACTCCGTTGAAAATACGTTATTATCGATATACATATATGTATATACATGTGCGTATGCGTTATCTACCCGCACGCAGCAGGTATATTTAATAAATTTAATCGTTATGTCGCTCGACAGGTGCTGTTGGATTTAGCCAGAATGATCTTCGAGGAGCAGAGTACGATAGAACACATGGTCCTGAGGATCTTAACTCATACTCAATCATTGATACAATGCCAACGCGTTCAGGTACGATATTGAAAATCGTTCTCTTATAAAAATAATCGATTATTCTTTGGCACATTTCGTTGTCGAGAATTCATCATCAAAATGGAATGAACGAACGAACGAACGAACGATTTGCCTTTTCGACAGGTATTATTGGTGCATAAGGCATCGAAAGGAAGCTTCTCTCGCGTGTTCGACTTCGAGGCGAACGATCTCACGGGCGAAGATTCCGATTCTCGTACGAGGTAAGCAAAGGCAAAAATTTGTTTCCTATTATCCATTACTACGAGATATCTGTTTCTACGACAAGTTAAAGAAAGAAATTAGAAAGAGAGGAGGTAAAAAGCAGGGAGAAAAAGAAAAAAGAAAAAAAGAATAAGAAAAGAAAAGAAAAGAAAAGAAAAGAAAAGAAAAGAAAAGAAAAGTAAAAGAAAGAAAGAAAAATGTACCACGGTCGAGATTCATACATCTAATAACGTTGCCGTTTTGTCGTTTCGTAGTCCGTTCGAGAGTAGATTTCCTATAAACGTCGGCATCACCGGATACGTGGCGACGACAGGCGAGGTGAGATTAAACTTTCTCTTTCCATCATCGAATTATGAAAAAGGAACGAACATTAATAATCGAACGACGAGTTCATCGAGTAATTTTGGTCCAAAACATTGACCAATTGATTTTTCTTTTCTTCGCCTTGCTAACGAAGATGATTATAGACTTAATCGTATCTGCCGAAAGACAATAAAAAAATTGCAACAGACGTTCCACCTTCTAATTTGAATTCTTTAGTAAACATAACGCGCTATCAATAAATCGATTAAATGCTATATGCCTTACCTATAGATATATCAGATATATTATAAATGAATTACGTTGTGTAACGTGAACATTAACGATACTCATACAGATCGATGTATTATTTCAGACGGTCAGTATATCAAATGCCTACGAAGATCCAAGATTCGATCCATCCGTCGACGATGGTACGGGGTTCCGACATCGCACCATACTCTGCATGCCCATAAAGAATTCATCCGGACAGATAATCGGTGTCATACAACTAATCAACAAATTCGACGATCTTCCTTTTACAAAAAACGACGAGAACTTTGTCGAGGCGTTCGCCATATTCTGCGGCATGGGCATACACAATACGCACATGTCAGTATGTGAAATAAAATTTATCGATTTTATTTATTATCGATCGAACTTATCCGCGCTTTTCTATATTTTCGATATAAATCTTCAATCTTACATACATAATTATTTTTTGACAGGTACGAGAAGGCTGTGATAGCGATGGCTAAACAAAGCGTTACTTTGGAAGTACTGAGTTACCACGCGTCGGCATCTTTAGAGGATGCTCAAAGACTGAGGGTTAGTTGTTTTCTGGTTATGGAAATCTACACAAATCTACAACTAGAGTACCAACGAGCGTATATCTAGCGTAGTTATCGGTATAGGTATCGAAAGGAAAGAGGTGGTGGTGGTGTTCGTCGATTCGACCTAGGTCGATTAGCTCGCGGCCGATTGCTTTCTAATAATATCCGCATGAAATACCCATATAATATATTACATGCCATGAAATGAATTTTTATTACGAATATTAGATTAATCTTCGCGCATATTCCGAGATTCCTCATATTATTTCGGCTTCTTACGATTCTTTCAGGGCTTAAGAGTGCCATCCTCGGCGCACTATCAATTACACGACTTCAAATTCGACGACATTCATATGGAGGACGACGAAACTCTCACGGCTTGCCTAAGAATGTTTCTCGATCTTGACTTTGTCGAACGTTTTCACATAGATTACGACGTACTTTGTAGATGGTTACTTAGCGTTAAGAAAAATTATCGGAACGTAACTTATCACAATTGGAGACACGCCTTCAACGTTGCACAAATGATGTTTGCCATTTTAACTGTGAGTCGATCGATTACGTATTACGTATTACTACGAATTATGTATTACATTCGCATCCATTTCGATCGTAGAACTTTGTATTTTTATTCGCACACAGGCTACCCAGTGGTGGAAAGTCTTCGGTGAAATCGAATGTCTCTCTTTGATCATCGCTTGTCTCTGTCACGATCTCGATCATCGTGGTACCAACAATTCTTTTCAAATCAAGTACGTATCTAAAAATAAAAATAAATTAAATCGTGCGATAAACTATCTAAAATTGTTCGTTCCTCTCTTTTTCTTTTCTTCTATTCTTCTATTCTTTGCTCTCTCTCTCTCTCTCTCTCTCTCTCTCTCTCTCTCTCTCTCTCTCTCTCTCTCTCTCTCTCTCTCTCTCTCCATTCCTTTGTCGTTTTCCAAGGGCTTCCTCCCCGCTGGCGCAACTTTATTCGACTTCCACGATGGAACATCACCACTTCGATCAATGTCTAATGATACTGAGCAGTCAGGGTAATCAGATTTTGTCGAATCTTTCACCGGAGGAATATTCTCGAGTGGTCAAGGTTCTCGAGGAGGCTATTCTGTCGACCGATCTTGCCGTCTATTTTCGAAAGAGAGGAGCCTTTTTCAGCTTGGCGCGAGGTGGCGGCTATAATTGGGCATACGGAGATCATCGTGAACTTTTGCGTGGTATGCTGATGACCGTATGCGATTTGGCGGCCATCACGAAACCTTGGGAGGTCGAGAAGAGAGTGGCCGAATTGGTTAGCAGTGAATTTTTTGAACAGGGCGACATCGAAAGGCGGACGTTAAATATTACGCCAATCGTAAGGATCCTTTTCTTTTCTTTTTTTCTTTCTACGAAACAATTTCTACGATAGAATATTACGAAAGAAAGTGCGTATCATTGGCTTTGATCTTTGCTACAGGATATTATGAATAGGGAGAAAGAGGATCAGTTGCCGATGATGCAAGTTGGCTTCATCGATTCGATTTGCCTCCCCATATACGAGGTATGAACTCATACTTTGATACAACCTGTTTAATTGAAATATATGCGATTATATAAATTCTCGGTATTCGTCGTACTTGATACACATCTAGAAAAAAGATAAATATATATATATATATTTTTTTTCTAGGCATTCGCTTTACTATCGGACAAATTGGAGCCCTTGGTCGAAGGTGTCAGAAACAACAAGCGACACTGGTTGGAAATCGCAGAGTCCAAGTGCCAGACGGAAAATTGCACGAATCACGACAGGACGTCGACGTTATCCGATGACGACAACGAAGAGATCAACGAACAGGCGGACCAATAGTCGTTAATATCAGTGCATGTGCGATTAAAGTTTAATGCCTCAGAAACGGATCGAAATGCTCGCGTTTCGATCATCGACAAGAGTGACGAACGGACGAACGAACGAACGAACGAACGAACGAACGAACGAACGAACGAACGAACGAACGAACGAACGAACGAACGAACGAACGAACGAACGAACGAACGAACGAACGAACGAACGAACGAACGAACGAACGAACGAACGAACGAACGAACGAACGAACGAACGAACGAACGAACGAACGAACGAACGAACGAACGAACGAACGAACGAACGAACGATCGAACGAACGAACGAACGAACGAATATTGCCGTTTCGCTGCTACCAAGAAATCTATCGAGAAATTTTCATTCGTGGCCACAACGCTTTTCGTCAACGCTTTAAGGTCAAAGAATCTTTCCTATTCTTGTGATTTCTTTGGCGAGTAAAAAGAAAAACAAAAAAAATGATGATAGGTCGTTTATATGTTCGTTCGTTACGATTAACAAACATTACGTAATGTAAGGATCGATAAAAATAAAATTGTAATTATTCTCGTCCTCGCGGGATAAAAAAAAGGTTTGTGATAAAAGAACGATCTTCGTCCTCTCTTCGAAAGAGAAAAGAAAAAGAAATAAGACAAATCGATCCTGATATGCTACTCTTGTACCTGACCCGTATTGTACCTATATACATTATGACAATATTTCTACGTTCGAGAGAGGATGGAGAAGATGATATGAGAAAAAAAGGAAAAGAAGAAGAAGGAAAACGAAATGCGATCGCAAAAGATCGTTCGTGGATCGTCTTCGTTTTTCCTCTCGCTCGCTATTTATAAGGATCTCTTGGAAAACCAATGGACGCAAACGCGATGTGCATAATGACGCTGAGTGCGTGCGTGCGTGCCTGTATGTATATGCAATTATATATACAAAATTATACGAATATGTATGTTGTATGCATGTATGTATGCATGTATGTATGTATGTATGTATGTATGTATGTATATATATATATGTTTGTATATTCGTATACCAAAGTGCACATTTACATATATCGAGATCGATCGCTGAACAACGATGAGAACGATATTTATCGTCTCTACTTGTTCATGTCCGTTAGTTAAAATCCTTCGATTAAGCCGAAAGAGAATCTGTGTCTCTCTTTTCTCTTCTCTTTTCCTCGCTTCCCTCTCTTTTTTCTCGAAAAATTTTGGCGGCTAGGTTGTACTTCTTAGACGTCTCGATCCTTGAATATAGAGCACGGTTTTCCTTTTTCCTCGCATAAATCTGTCAAATCACGATGATATATCGTTTATATCGGATCGAATATAAGTAACAACGGCCACCCGAGTCCAGACGATGATCAGACATAATGTTAGATATATACACCTATAGTTAATCTTTTTTGAGAATCTTACCTTTGCGATTAAGCTTTAAGAAATTCTCATCATGTCGCTAATCGTATCGCCGTAATAATCCGCATTGGATGTGATTTAAAAAATGGAACCTTTAAAGTTCCCTTTAGTTCGAAAGAATTATTAAAACGGTTTGTGACGAAGAAACGAAAACTCGACAAAGTGAAAGATGATATAAGAAAAAAAAAAAAAATAAATAAATAAATAAAAAAGAAAAAGGAAAGAAGGAACATATGTGAAATAAATTTGCGAGAATCCATCGTAAATTTTTGAAAGTCATTTGAGAATAGACATGAAACCGACAATGATCATGTTTTGATCATTGTACTGTTAAAAAGAACAAAAAAAGAAAAAAATAAAGAGAACGAACGGAGTGTGTCACGTATAAATCGAACATATCATTTTCCATAAGCTTATCAAAATTAATAAATAATAATAATAATGATGATGATGATGATGATGATGATGATGACGATGATAATGTTAATATTAATAATATTAATAATACTAATAATAATAATAATAAGATTAATAATAATAATAGTAATAATAATAATAGTAATAATAATAATAATAATAATAATAATAATAATAATAATAATAATAATAATAATAACGATAATAATAATAATAAAATAATATCTGGAATAATCGGGCTCAAGGATCTGATAAGTTTATCCTATCGTATCTATATATAATTCTTGTAATCTTTCGAGATCGATATAACTCGATACAATTCGATATAATTGACCACGTGAAATCAAAGAAGGAATATTAACTCGATTAATTGTCAACTTTCCAAGCACACTTCAAAGAGACTCTGCGAAAAATATTGGAGTGATCGTGTACGATCGACCGATCGTAAGGACCAATGGTTATTTCCAATATCTTTCTTTACGACAGATGTTAAATTGATTTTTTAAAAAGGGACGAAACTTCAAGAGTCGATGAAAATATTAATTAGAGAGATACGCCTACGTGTGTGAGCGTTATTACTCATACGAATACGTTATAGTCTTAGTTCGCGTTTTTCTTTTTCTACGTGTTCCTCTTGTATCTACGAAAGTGTCCTTTCTTTTTTATTATCGATCCCAAAACCTTAGTCCCTCTCTCGCCGATCGCGACACGGTGAGAATAAAGAAAAAGAAATGAGAAGTATATTATTTAGAAGAAGATGCGTTGTGTGAGTGTAATCAAGCGCGCATATAACGTAATGAAAGAGTAGAAAACGGGATGTTGTATTGTATAATTTTTGTGTAAATTATTGATACGATACGATGCGAAAGGCGTGCGACATGGCACACACACATACACACATACACACACAAGACCATTTATCGTGCCACGCTTAATGGTAGCACGAAAGTCATATTATATGAACGATATCTAATATATTAAAAGAAAATTAAGTTATGTGCGATACACGTGAACAATTATCGTTTCGTTTTTCTGCCCATGTCCAAGTTTTCAATGGCGCATGTACAACAATGATGATCGACAATTATTGCATATCGATTGGAGAAACACGAATTGTAATTTGGCTCTCTCCTTACGAAGAGAGATTACGAGAGGATAAGGAACGAAGGTGAGATTTCGTTGGTAAAAAAACAGTTGAAGGATTATGAGAAAATTCGAGTCGTCGTCTAATCTTTCAATATCGCGATAATATTAATGTCGAAATTATAAACGCTGTCCTTTTGTCTCAATTATCCGATCTAAACGAAGACCTATCAGCGGGCTTCTCGAAAATGGACGATTTTCGATTTTCTTTGGAAAGAGGAAAGGTGTATCGAGGTTTGCGGATAAGGTGCACTTAACGTTTGCTTCTTGTCGTCCAAAGTGGATCAATTAATTGGATCTTAAAAAGGTTCGCTCTCTAGTGGTCGAAGAGAGAGAGAGAGAGAGAGAGAGAGAGAGAGAGAGAGAGAGAAGAGAGGAGGGGGGGGAGATAGGAGAGAGAAGGGACGAGAGAGTGGTCGAAAAGCACGCCGTTGTCGTTGCCAGGCGATCGCTTCGAGTTAGGATCGATAGTTGACAAATTGTGTACCGCGATGTAGGTCAATCGAGCGCACGTTGGACGAAACAAGAATGTCGCAAGCTCATCCGAACGGACCTTGGTTAGCGTTGCCAGATGCCGCGCGAGCATGCCTCGATAAACAACTTCTTCTTATTCTATTCGGTGAAAACGAATTATTAAATCGCCGCTATAGCGAAATATTTGAAACGGTCTTATTTCAAATATGCGTCTATTTCTTTCGTACAGTGCGTGAAAATTGACGAGAAGGATAGAAGGAAAGAAAAGGATGTAAGGGAATGATAAAAGATGAAAAGCAGTTCTACTGTTGGGGAACGTTACGGATTATACGATCTCGTGCGACAGTCAGCTCGAAATTGTTGCCAGCATTGACAAGTCTATTGTGAGCGTCGGCATGTGTCAGCTGATGCATAGGTTCTCCATTCAATTTGATCACCACGTCACCCGCTCGTAAGCCAGCTTTATCGGCCAGCCCTCCGATCGTTACCTTTCGCAACAAAAAATACAAATATCGCATTACCAACAACGAGATTTAATATCTTTAACGTATTAATCAACGATTAATCTCGCCCTTTTTCTTTTCTTCATTAGAGACGAGCGCTGCAACTGTGGCATAATTATTTCATCGTATGGGTATTAGAACGATCGTGGATCGTACAAGAAATCAATACTTTGCTATGAAATTCGTATGACTAATTATATTTTCACATGGACATTGAAATATGGAAATTTCGTACTTGACAAAATAATCATCCACATTGCATTGACGCAACGAAAGAAAGGACTTGTCTAACGTGACGCAAATAAAAATTGTACGTTCGTCTATTAAATCATACCCTGACGACTGTCAAAGGAAAACTGAAATCCACCCCTCCGGAAAGACGAAGGCCCCAAGGTTGAGCATCGTTTCTCGAAAGTTTAATGTCAACCGACATAATTGGTCGATCGATTTGTTTCTAAATCGAATATCTGAAATGGGAAGGACAATGACAAAGAATATAAACGTTATCGTTTGCCACGGGGGAAAGTGCAAATATATCTATGAGAAAAGATTTGAAATAAAAGATATATATATATATATATATATATATATGTAAGTATACGATCTCTATTAAGAGAAGAGATCTCTTGCGAGCTGACACTCACCAATAGATACGAAGAAGAGAAGAAATTTTACGAGATCTTTAAACACCAAGTCTCGAAGATCGTCGACTATCGACGCCGCACGTACGACACGACGATACCGCGAGATCTGACGACACTGATCTCGTCTATACGTAAATAAACGGTGGTCGCCTCGGTCGGCGCTAATGACGATTTCTTCGGTCATTATCTCTTAGCTCATACCCTAGATAATGTTATCTATATAAGCGCTGACCGATCCTTAGGTGGTCAAACGATGCCAACGTTTTCGTTTGCTCGTTTCTAAATATACCTAAATATACCTAAATATTTTTACTCATTAGAAAGGTGACCGATTATCAATCGATCAATTAGTAATCGTGATCTCTAGATCGAGAAATCGAGTTCATTACTTCAAAGAAATGTTTCCATTAAATGAATCCATTAACAAACGGTAATCTTTTCTTCTTTACAAAAATATTTTCTATTTTATTCGATGTAACAACGTCGACATCAAAGTGTCCCACAAAGAAAAGATTAAAGAAATTTTCGCAAGCTTTAATAACCTCGATAATCGACCATAAACCATCGGATAGCGGCAATTTTATCTATTAGTCTAATGGCGAGCGTGAACTCGTTTTATCGTCAAATTTGTCGAGTGTGCGAACAAAAAATGTAGAGCTAAGCATTAGAAAAAAAGAAAAAAAATCATCGGACTACTCGAATGAATGAAGCTCTAACGATTTGACTTGGAACTAGCGTGTATCATCTTTCTCTCAAATGATGTGTAGGTACTCAAAAGGCTATTTAAAAACGATTTACCGCTGAAGAACGCACTCGACCAACCACTGGAAAAATGTATTAAAAGCCGTTTCAACGACGGGATGGAATGAGGTAAGCCGAGGGAGAGGGAGAGAGGGAGAGAAAAGAGTTAGTCGATATAATCCGACGTCTCTCTCTCTCTCTCTCTCTCTCTTCTCTTTTTCGAAGAGTATCCTCTCGAGAATTCCGTATACTGGTAAAAAAAAGAAAAGCAGTAGATCTCGCATAGCACTCGTCGTCGTCGTCGTCGTCGTCGTCGTTGCCAAAGAAGAAGGCAAAGAAAACGAAAGAGCCGTGTGGATGAAAGAGTGGTGAGGGAAACTGAGTAAGCAGTTCCCCGTGGATTTCCACGAGTAGAGGCAAAGTTTGATCCCTCGGAGGGCGCACGCGAGGGCGTACGCGAGGGCGCACGCGAGGGCGCACGCGAGGGCGCACGCCCCGATCCCAGCTACACAGCTGAGTGGGCTTTAAGCAGTCACGAACGAGTCCTCGTTCGTTGCAGCTGCACCGATCGTAGCTCGTCTCTTTGTCTCTCTTTTCTCCCTTTACCCTAATACAAGTTCTACATATCCTTGTCTGGCGTCCCTCCTTCTCTATCTTTCCATCTAACTTTCCTTTTTTCTTTCTCTTTCTCTTCCCTTCCCAACCAATCTCACTCACCTACCCTTTCCTCCGCCGTTCGTCCCGCTTTCGAGCCGCTGTATGCGAATCTTGGTGCAAATCCTTGCAATTTCTCGCGTCGCGCGTCTCAACGTCGAAAAGGAATGATCCTCGGCAACGCTGTCCTTAATTCGTCTCTTTTGATCTCGATATGGAACGTCTTATGTTAACGCATACCTGTTGGGCTCCATGATCGGTGATACAAAGTTTGAGGAATGAGCTTAGATCTGAAAAATGGCATGCGTCCAACGTATGTAAGTGTTGTTATTATTGGTCCGCTCGGTGTCACCACCTTTCCATCGATCTACCTCTTTTTCACAACTTTATATCGAATCGCATTTTTGCATCTTGACAAGTCCTCCTCGAGCTTCTATCGATCTACGCGCCCTCATTTGCGCCTAACTTTTTGAAACTCTTTAATCTTTGAAGCGTTAAGCTTTTAACGACGAGCAAGTGTCGAGGTGTTTGAAAGTGCTTCGAACAATATGCGCAACAGTTTATATCGACGGTGTATTATACAATATTTTCGACCATTTTTTTCATTTATCACGTAACCGTTTCTTGATACACTATCGTCAGAAAAAGCATTTATCGTCGTTTCATTTTAATCGACCGATATCTTTACGAAGATGTGTGTGTGTGTGTGTGTGTGTGTGTGTATACTTGTAATCCTCTCTTCTTCTTCGATCGTATGTATATCTTTAAGGCTTATCCATTAAAACGTCAACTTTGAAAGGAGAAAATATTTTAACGAATCAAAAATACTTCTCTTTCGCTAGTCTATTTTTTCATCAATGTACGATAAAAAGAATTTTCCTTTGTTTACTCGCTTACAACCATAATTGTATTACGGCGAGCTTAAATAAATTTCTTAGCGATCTCTTAGAAGATCATTTTACGTCACCGATTTGCATAATCAATGATAAAACTTGTAAGTAAATCTGCGGTCAACCGTTACCGTCAGGATGTATTTTAAAAGTTAATTAGAACCAGAATGGGAACTCGAACGAGAACTGAAACGAGAATTGGAACCTAATAATCCGCGCCCGGATGCTTCCTTTCCGATATTGTATTTGTCGATTTTCACCGAATCAAAAGGAAAGGAAAAAACTTTGCGACCGCGCGTGAAATAGGTCGAACGTTTAGTATGAGTTACGATAGGAGGGAAAGGAAATATTTCGTACTTTCGATGGGCAATATACGCTAAGCGGTGAATTGGTGACAAGCGAGCTACGAAATTGCCGTTCATGCTAATGAAAACTATAAATTTCCAGTCGTTCCTATTACGTCCTATGTTTCTATCATGTCCAAAGACGCAAAGCGTTTTCATCCCGTAAACATCGTGTTCCCTCGTTATCCTACTTTATTAACGTAATAATATATCATCGATATACTTATTTTTGAATACCCTAAACAGTTATCAGACATGATAGAAATTGAATGAAGAGAAATGCACTTGACTTGGAGGTTAAAAGAGAAGGAAGGCTTAACAGATAGATATTCACAGCCACGCTCTAACTGTCCTATCGATTTTTCCTAAAATCCGTTGTTGACCTTAATAGCTGCCTCTCGTTGGGACCCTCGAATATTTAGAATCTCTCTCTCTCTCTCTCTCTCCCCCTCTCAACGCATCATCAACCATGCAAATATTCCAAAGGCGAATTATCTCAAAAAATATATCTCAAAGATACGTTCGATCATATACTATAGAGAGTTTCAATTATTATATTGTGCGCGCATACACCGCTATTTGATCCGTATATCTATTAATTGAGACGATATCGAAGCTAATGTCGGACGAATAGCATTTAAAAGCGTGATATTATTATAGCTCACGACAAAACGTAGGTACATTACTCCGTCTCTATAAGAATTTAATCGTCGTTCCGAAAAGACTCGAAATTGAGCTCTAATTACGAGCGATTATATTTGGAGCGTCATTTTTTCGAGTGGCCAAAGCAAGCTTGCGTGTTCGAACGTCATTGGGAAACTAATCGTAAAATAATCAAGAAAGGTCGAGGGAGATAGAAACAGAGAGAGAGAGAGAGAGAGACTTCTACGGGGGTGCGCTATGTACTCAATTTGTAGCGCCTACGGTGAGCTAATTCAAGAAAAGAAAGAGAGGCTTGTGTGCAGTCACCCTCGATTACAAACATTTACTACGAGTCGAACAAACCTCGCAATGGGCGTTACCAAAGACGACTCAACATGAAACTATAGAGACGACGGAAAACGCTGCTGGTGGTTCGCCAACATGGAGGGTTGAAATTGTATCGACTGATAATTATCGAGTGTCTATATATACACGTTATACGATGTGGCATGCACGAGAGAGAGAGAGAGAGAGAGAGAGAGAGAGAGAGAGAGAGCCATGATGCGGATCGCATACAAGAAAGAGAAAACTGACAGTTCCAGGGAGTAAAAATAACGAAGGGAATACAACAGCTTGCGTTTATGTGTGCGTATAATGAAAATAGCCATTATCGACAATTATTCGCGTATAGAGATGGCGTGGCACGAGCGTTGCAAACTAAAAAGCTCCACTTTTTTTCTGCTGTTTCTTTAATTTTTTTTATTTCGATAAAATAAAATAGGCAGCAGAGGAAAGTCGGATCTTTTTATTTACATCCGTCGTGTCACGCTGTTTCAATATAAAAAAAAAAATTCAACTTTTTCTCCTGCTGTCTTTTATTTTCTTTTTTTTTCTTTTTTCCTTTATTTCAATGAATAAGTTTTTCCTTCGTTTCCATTCGCAAAATGTTATAGAACAAAAATAATGAGAATTTATGAAAAAGATAGACTGACAAGATAGAGAAAATATAGAGATGATAGATAGAGGAAATTGGATGAAAGTGAAAGAGAAATAGAAATGTAGATGTTGAAAACGATGCATACGAGACGTTGTCCACCCTCCTTTCGCACTGGAATGTTTGTGACAGCGGTATTAAAAATGTTACCAACGTAAAAGAGGGAATAAAAGTTACAAACAATACTCGTTCGTTCCGTATTCACGATAAATCTTTGAGACAATGTTGACCTCGTTCCAATGATCGATGAAAGCAGTCCTGTAAAGCAAACTTGGTAAATCCTTGACACTGAAATTTATATGAATTTTTCAAATTTCAATTTTATGTGTTATATTGGACGATGATTCGCAACAATTTGAAAGAAAGTGAACAATGAATTGTGAGAGCTTTCAAATATATTTATTGTTCACATAAGGCTTCCCTCTCTCTCTCTCTCTCTCTCTCTCTCTCTCTCTCTGCGCGAGGGATACGTAATCGCGTAATCTTCGATAACGTTTATCTCATTAGTTAAAACTTTATCGGGCCACGTTGGAAACAAAAGTTTTTTTCATTTTATATAAAGAAAATCCTCCATCGATGAAAATATCTTTATTGAGAACATTCATTATACACGACGCGATTATTAACCGTTTCCTTCGCAATATACTTAGAACGGTTTATTTCTGACAAAATATCGTAATAAAATTCTATCGTGGCGAAGAATGAAGAAGAACAAAGCGAAGAAGGTATAAAAAATTGTAGAGAAAATTCTAAAAAGAATTCTACTCGGATAAAATAAATAGATTACGTACATACGTATGATACGAAAATAAATGAAAGAGGTATACGATTAAATAGACAGATGTAACAGGATAAGAGAGAAAGAGGGTGGAGACGTGGACCCAGAGGGTGGCTGTGTGGGCGGTAGCACCACTGGTTGTGGCGGTAGCTCCATCGATCGTTCCAACTCGGCAGCTATAGTCCGCCACTTCGCGTACGAACGATGACGCGCCGACCTCGGCATGGCCTGAAAAATTTCATAAATCATACTAACGAATTGTCAGAAGAGACGAGGCAGCTGAAACGAGCACGTTTCACGAAACATTTTCCTTCTTCTAATATTCATTTTGATTCATTGTTCAATTGGTATAAAATATATCGATTTGTTGATATCCCTTGCTTCTCGAAAAGTATCGAAATGAATATCGCCTAGCTAACGTTCATTCTTGAAAATCTTTTTCAAGCGTCCTTCATCTTGGCAGCTTTATTGGTCCATCCACGAAGGTGTCTGCGCCATAATCATCGGGGAAATTAGTTTGAGCCGTTTTAGAGAAGGGATGATACGGCACGCGGAAGAAGAAGAGCGAATGAAAAGAGGAAACGAAATGAGAGAAAAGGAGAGAGAGAGAGAGAGAGAGAGAGACAGAGAAATTCTATATTCGGATCAAATTGAAAGTCGCCCTGGGCATGAAGCAATATAGTATCGTTTGTAATTCGATAGCCTACGTTATTGCCTCCATAGGCAAGCTTTTAAAAGGGACGAATGTACGAATGTTCGAAGAGTAATGATCCGTGTTAATTATCGAAGCGATTACTCTTTCAGTAATACTCATTTTAGAAGATAAAAATTTGCGAAAATCGCTACCTTCGATCGTACTACAATGGCAATAAATATTACCTTTTTATTGATATTAATATAGCCGTTAAAGGTGATATTTCAGATGAAAATTTCATATTATCCGACATTTTCTATTATTATGACAAAGCCAAAGGATAACGTCGTAATTACGGCGGGAGAGTCGTGGTCAACCCAATTTCCCTTACGTACGTTCGTATAATTCGATACATACGTACGTATAGGAAAGTACGTATATTTATTAGTATTCGCTCGACCATGAACGTTCACCACGAAGGCCAGTCTTTGACAAATATTTGTCAACTTACTTTTATATACAAGCTTAAGATGCCTCTTGGCTCGTTCTAATCGAGTAAAAAAGCGCGTTGTATACGGTGGAACTTTAAGAAGAAAATAAAATTTGGAGGGAAACGAAGGAAAAGAAAAAGTTTTAGCAAGGGCGGATACGAGTAATAAAATAAATTGCAAATCTACATAAAGTTGAATAAATCTAAATAAAAATGGGATTTCATACCGTTGTATAATGAGAGACAGTCCGTCGATCGATCGAGTCGACGATGGATGAGAGAGTGAGAGAGAGAGAGAGAGAGAGAGAGAGAGAGAGAACATTTCGATTCTCTCGCGCCTTTCCAATCGGCCTTCTATAAAGTCGATGTAAAGATGGACGCGTACGATCCGTTCGCTAACCGTACTTGCTATATTCATTCGACGTCCTTTGATCGACGACTCGTGAGATTCAGCGAACCTTTAATAAGTACGATACAGCGCGTGGCACACTCTACCATCTCGATTTGATCCATACTATCCGTAATATATATCGAATAATATATGCGATATCATATAGAGAAAGTGTATTAAATATTTCGTCGTTCGCGTCTCGAATAAAAATCCGTCGCAATGAATGATGCTATCGTCTTCGTAGATAAAATTCACGTATTATATTTATTTATTTAACGATCCACGAGATACGTATTATTTCGAGAATATATCTAGACGAAGATAGAAATAATTTTTCTCTGTCAAACAGATCGTTCTTCCATCCTCGTTGAGGATCGCCTAACGATTGCCGAAAATAAGTAAGAAAATTGAAGGTTTCCGTGTCTTTTTCGAATCTCGAAAGAAGAGAGAAAAGAACTCTTAACTACGACGTTGGCAGTGGTGGAAAAATGTCGAGGATATTACTAGCAGGATTCTACCTGCAACCCACGGAGCCGGGCCTGAAGTTCGGTACCACTTGAACGTCGTACCCGTCGGAGAAGGTAAAACACGTGCGCAGATATGTAGAAATACGATTTTTGCGATTTAAAATGTCTCTAAATTGTCGGACAAAGTAAATATAAATAAAAATATCGGAATATTTCTGGGGCTCTTTGAAAATGTTTTGTCACGAAAAGAGAGAAAAGAGAAAAAAAGAAAGAAGAAAAGAAACGGTCAAATCGCATCGAAAATGCTTCTTTTTCCTTTTTTTACCCCGAAAAATGGTTCCCAATTGAAGGAAAGAAGAAAAAACCTCTCCTTATCTTTGGAAAGAGGAGGAAACATTTTCAAAGATAAGCTCCGTCCGATGAGAGGACGGAGGTTCTCATTCTCTATTCGGGACGATCGATGAAAGCGAGTTTGATTGAAAAGATTGACTCTCGTCTTTTATTATCGCTTTGATCGAAGAGAGCAAATGAGCAGGACGCGGGATGGGCAAGTCCTGGCTCTTGGCTCTATTTTCTGCGAGGATGACGACAATGACGACGATGACGACGATGACGATGATGGCATACGTTACGATGGCGGGAGCTGGTACGACCTCGGCGCCGTCGTTCTTTACGACCGCTACAACGACCACCACCACCACCGCTACCACCACCACTACTACCACCACCACCACTAGCACCACCACTACCAGCACCACCACCAGCACCACCACCAGCATGGACAGTAAATTCGACGGCAAAAAAGTAAATCTATTCTAATGGATTATCGTACAAGTGGTCGAATGGTCGACTTAATTAATTGATTCAATTATTTACTCGATATGTCGTTTACTTATGGCCGACTATATCCATTTCCTGAGTTATACTTACGTCTAACGTACATAACATCGGGTAACGTTATCGTCGGCTATCATGATACGATCAGCGATCATACGTTCGACGAACATTCGATTTTCTAAGCTAACGGATATAGAGGAAGCTCTGGACGTGATCGAGGCAGCATCCAGCGGATCGTTGGGGGACGAGTGCGCGAGTACGGCAGGCTTCAAGTCGTTGCCAGCTGGCGCGTCTCTCGATCCACGTCGTTACGACACGGCACGTCAGAAAACGGATATGACGGCCATGATGCTTCAAAACCTCGGCCCTTCCGGTGTTGCACGACACAACGGTGAGCGATTGTATTTATGTCTACTCATTTATATGTAAGCGTTCTCTCGCCACTTCGTTCCACAAACTTTTATCCGTGAAACATAAATAGCGCGTCCTTCCTCTTTTCCTATTTTTCCTTTCATCGAGAACGTGTCATCGAAGCCGTCAATCGTAATTCGATTTTTTTCCTTTTTTTTTTTTTCCTTTCTTTTCTGACACTCTTCTGACATTCTCTCGAATCAAAGTTCCGTGAAAATCTATGAGCCAGCTAAATCAATGGTAAAAGAAAAAGAAGGCGATAGGAGGGCGTGGCAAGGTTAGACGGAAGAACGAAAAGGTTCAAGTAGAATTGGGCACTCTCTCTCTCTCTCTCTCTCTCTCTCTCTCTCTCACACACACACGTTGCTTCCATTTCGCGACACCTGCGCGTCACCTGTTGCTCGTGTCGTATGTCTTCGACATATTTCTTCTCTTAATTTTCTTACTTTTCCTTACTTTTTTATTTCTTTTTGTTCTTTTTCTGTCTTCCTTTTTTTTCCTCCCTTTTAAATAACGGGAGGATAAAACCAAAACCAATGCTTCCACGAGAGCCTCATTAGAGCTACGTTTCCGCCATGGCTCTAGACTCTAGACGCGAATTCTAACGGGAAAAATCTCCCGTTGTGGAGAGAAAAGGAAAGGATAATTCGAAAGTGGATCGAAATATTTGACTCTTCGACCCTCTCTCTCTCTCTCTCTCTCTCTCTCTCTCTGGAGTGATCCAATCGGGTCTTGCTCGCAGAAAAGGAAAAGAAAGTAAGATAGTAATATGTAGTTGGTTGTGTAGTATTCACGAATACGCAGGCTCCATTGGATACGTCATTCCACGGAACGTGTTATCGCGTGTTTCTAAGAATACGTTCTCGTAGAGGCATTGTGTTTGAAGCGGTCGGGGTATCTCTCGGTTGCGCATTATTTATACCCCATCTTCAACTGATAATATTATTCCGGAGGATGGACAATATAAAATAGGCACGTGCCGTTAGTCGGGTAGCCTCTCGTTTGAACAGAATTTCAATGGTTTTGCGAAGGAAGAAGGGTAACGAGAGTGTGGAGGAGAGACCGGATGCTCGGCCGGCCGTCTATCGATCTCCCGACTCACAAAGCCCCACCTTACCACCTGCGTTGCGCATACCGTACTCCGAAAATACCATACTCCTGGCTCATAGCTCTTCTTTTTCCTCCTTAAGCACTTATTCCTCTTCGATAATCGACGTACGCGAATATTAACGTCTAAGAACGTTGTCGTCGATTGTCATTGGGATTTATTATTACGAAAAGATTCAGGAAAAACGAACGATTACGTCCGTAGGTTTTTTGGGCGTCTTGGCGAAATCGTTGCTCCTTTCGGTGAACGACGCCGTGGAAGCAAGAGTGATCGCATTGAACGCATCTACCGGGACGGTGATAAACGCCGTGTGGCTCAAGAGAAGTCCCGGAAGCGTGGGTGAACCGATCGAGGTCGAAGGCCATGCTCTACAGGCAGGATCCAGGCCGGATCCGAGTCTACCCTGGTTCGAAAATGCTGGTGCTAGCTCGGGATTAAGGTTCGACGGTCTCTTCCTTCCTTCGGACGATTTTTCCCTGTCGTTTTGTCTCCATCGTTCTCCGTCATCCACGTCATTATTATTAACACCTATCTCAATCTATCCTCCATTATATCTCTATTCTAGTCATCTCTAGTCATCTTATCTTTCTAATTAAATCTTAATATAGAAGAAACGAGAGCATCGAAAATATATTCGTTATAATTACATCAGATATTCCTTAAATGGAATTATTATTAAAGAATGCAAATGTTTCCACAATATTACGCACATCCAATTTGATACGCGATACGAGGATGAACCATGAAAGAATAAGCTCTTCGTTTCTTTTCCGACATAGGTAAAAATGAAATCGATGCAGGCGAGAGAAAGCTAATTGTGGTATAAGATTTAGTGTTAGATCTCTTCCAATTGTCCCTCATTTCTTTCTGAGAGCAAGCTTTTCTCGAACGAATTCGAGATGCTAACTATGGCATCATTTTTGCAAATAGATATGCGTGTAAAGTTTCGCACGAGATTTATTGGAAAATAAAAAGATTCGCCGGTAAAGAAGAAAAGTATTGTTATATTAACAGATACATGCGAGTGTATCGATAGTATTTCATATCGGCGTTAAAGCCGAGCCAAAAGTTTGTCGATCGTTTGAATTTCAGCTTAGATCATTGTATGTCACGGCGAATTTATTTAGAGCGGTCGCAAAAGTTAATAAAATTTGACGATGAGCGTGAGTTATATAAAAGAAAAAAAGAAAAAAAAAAAAAAGAGGGCAACAAAGACATTACTTTTCTTAAATAATGTCTTTCTTTCAGCACCGTCTTCGTTGATTCGACGTAAAAAGAAAAATTCCATGACGTTTGTCCGTGCAAGTATTTTATTATTCGTTTCCCGAACTCTCGTAGAGTTCGAAGGATCGAAGACTCGAGAAAAGCCTGTCTCTTTTAATCGTTCGAACGATTAATCTGCACGTACGCACGCACGCACGCACGCACACGCACTGCCGAATCGATTCAGCACCAGACACATTCTCTTAGATTAAAATCTTGCATCCTCCCTCCCCCCCCCCCGCCTCGCTCCTCTGCCCCGTTTCCCTGAACGGTGGAACGTACCAAAAAAGAAAAGAAAAGAAAAGAGATAAAAGCTCGCGTAGACGATTGTTGATCGAATTCGGCCCTTTACCACGATTATAAGATATCTATTTTCCTTCTTGCAAAGAGTACGTTCTACCGAAGAAGAACGGGTATCGTTAACGGGATTCGTAGGCGCTCCACGATCATTCATCTCGTCCTTCATCATCCCGTACGAGCGTCAGGTCATAGAAACTCGATACACGAAGTAACGTTATTTCGCTCGTAATATGTTTGGTAAGCAACGTTCCGACGACGATTCGACACAACACGTCTTCCATACTCGTATAGTCCTCGATTCGTAAGAAAAATAATCGATACGAATTATTAACGTGAAATGTTAAAGAAATGATCGAAAGTAATTGATTCGATTGACCGCAAAAAGTCGAAGCGGCCTTTCAGGAATAAAGCGAGGTTGTAAAAAGCGAGCAACAACTGTGTAAACAATTTTATAAGGGTTCATATCGCAGAGGCCAAGAGCTATGTCGTGTCGGACGAGATCGTTTGGAGGAACGTTTGCGCTCGGATGACCGTGAAGTGCCAAAAGAGGCAAAAGGCACGCCGAAGGTAAATGCAAAGAGGGATTGGCGTGCGCGGTGGTTGGGTTGAGGGGCTTATGAAAGAGATCGGCGATCACGGATCGGGGTCGCGTTGCACGAAGCACGCGCGTTTAAAAGTGGTCGAAGTTTCTATGACGGTTGTGTGGCGTTTGCGTGTGATCTCAGGTCACCGAAGTTCATGCAGTCACCGCCGATTGAATCCTACAGGGGTTGGTGGACCATCCCGTATTTCTCCTGCAAGACTCGCCAATGGCTCATCTCGTACAGCGTCAACGTGCGCCCCCCGGATTCTCGACACGGGTTCGTACTTCCCTATTTCTTCCTACCTCTGATCTCCCCTTCTATATACTTCAGATATATACCGGTGTCTCCTATATTCTTACATATTGCTTAAATTTCAACCCATCCCTATACTTCCTTCCTACTTATCGTCCGCAGTTTCGTAACTCTCCTCTAGTTTCTTAAACTTTGATCTCTTTGATACGTAGAAAAAGAAAAACTGAAAACTCTGAAACTCTTGATACGTCGGGGAGTCTCGGTGGAAATCTAAAGTTGGAGACAAAAAGGAGGATTCGATCGAAAAATGAAGATGGTAAACGTTTTCAAAGAATGTTATTGAGATGGCTGATCGACGATCAAAGAGGAACGAATGAATTAATCGTATCTAATCGACAATCGTAAATATCTAATCGACAAATCATTTCGGATCGGCGCTTAAGAAGCAGACTGAGCGATTCGCGTGTTGCCTCGCGAAATTGGCTTTCCACCGATTCGTCCCTCGGGACGAAGTTTACAATAGTTGCTTCTTCCGTTTTTAATCGTTAGTAATAATGCAGCTTCGTACGTACCCATTGTATATGGAAAATATGACGATAGGGCAATCCACATATATTCCCGTATAAGCAAAGAACCATTATCTAGATCCTACGTCTTTAGATACGGCTTTACGATTATTCAAAGGTTCGATGCCAATTAGAAATAAATCTTGCCGTTGTTTATTTCTCCCAAGTGTGCGAGAATTTTTGAGCATGGATATTGATATCAGCGGCTTGGAGGTGAATCAATGCAATGCATCCCCCTATGGCGATAGCGCATCGTCGAGTAATCAAATAGCATCCTTTAGAGGCACCCACAAGTGTCAGGACGATACGACGCAGGTAATAAAAGTTTTTTCACAGACAAACAAACACTATCGAAACGTCGCGCTCTCTCTCTCTCTCTCTCTCTCTCTCTCTCTCTCTCTCTCTCTCTCTTTCTCTCACACTCGTCGCTTTTCGCTGAGGGCCTAGAACATGCATGTTTGGTAATGAACAACCGTCTTATATAGACGAGGGACGCAAAGAGGTCGGCTCTTTTAAAATTCTTCTAACATTATTCCAAACAGCGTGCCAACCAGCGTGCTCTCGGCCGATGAAAGCTCGCCTCAGTACGATGAAGATAGTGCGATATTTTTACGCGTCATAAAAGTACAATAGTATCGGATAATTGTAATTAGATGAGGATGCTTTAGAAACGAACTCTTTTTTTAAACGCTTCTTTCTCCTTCGCGTCATATCGACAATTTTGTGACAACGGAATAGACAAAATTTACGTCGGACTAATTTATCTTGATAAATAGTATAGGTTGTATCATGAGATACAGCCTACTCTAAGAATTGGAGAAAATTGAAATTTATTTACAGTGCGAGTATCATAGTCCCAACGGCAAGGTCAACGAACACGGAGTTGGAGCTGGATGGGCAAAGGGCGCTTACGTTTGCAAATGTCGACAGGGTTTCTATCTTGGTACGAATCTTCAACGCGGGGCCGGCTTCGATGGTATTCTCGTTGAAGGTTGAACGATTGAATAAAGTACTGTGTCTTAACAATTAGAAATTGTTATATATGAAGAAACGTTATGTACCTTTCTTTTAGCCGCATGGAAAGAGATGCAAGAGAATATTAGCGATTATTACGTGAAAACATTTCGATGTTTACGCTGCGCCCCCGGATGTGCCAGGTGTAAAGGACCGGAGCCATGCTTGGCTCCTTACAATTGGCCCTTTAGGTATTTCGAACGAATGAAATGTGCAACGAGAAGGAATTCTCGACTCTTTAAATCGTCTTGTAATTGTCATTTTCAAGGATCACGCTGCTGGGATTCTCCATATTTTGCGTCTTCGGTACCGTCGTCCTCGTGGCCTATGTTTATCAACACCGTAAGCTCAAAGTATTCAAAGTTGCCTCGCCTATATTCCTGTCCATCACGCTACTTGGTTGCGCCATAATGTATCTCGAGGTACATACGATCGGCTAGCATTCCGATGGACAATCGCCACCTTCAAGTCCTTCATTCTTCCTCACTTTTGTTTCGTTTTTGTTGATAAAGATGGCGGCTATATTCCCGGTACTCGACATGTACTCGTGCATAGCCACGAAATGGACCAGGCATCTCGGCTTTTGCATATCTTACACCGCCCTGCTGATGAAGACTTGGAGGTAATAATAATTGGATACGAGACGACGAGTAAAACCTTACGAACGAATTCTCTTTCTTTCTTTCTATTTCTATTTCGATTCAGAGTATCACTGACCTATCGCGTTAAGAGCGCACACAAGGTCAAACTGACGGACAAGCAATTGTTACAATGGATGGTACCGATATTATTGGTCATGTTGATATACCTTGGTACATGGACGCTCAGTGCGCCACCGTACGCAGAAGTGATAGCCGATAAAATCGGTCTGAAATTTTATCAATGCTCTTACAATTGGTGGGATCATAGCCTGGCCATTGGTAATTAATCGATAAACTTATTAATCGATAAACTTAACGTTATGATACGATTTACGATTAAACGATTGCTTTAACGAGGAACTCTATTCGACCGTTCCGTTTCTTTTTCAAGGAGAGATCCTATTTCTCGCCTGGGGCATAAAAGTCTGTTACAACGTACGAAACGCCGAGAGTCTCTTCAACGAGGCACGACTGATAAGCACCGCCATTTATAACATAGCCGTCGTTAACATCCTCATGATCTCCATACAGTATGTAAACTCTTCTCTAAGAAACAACTCAGAGCAAAAGAGGAAAAGAAAGAAAAAGAAAAGAAAAGGAAAAGAAAAAAAAGAGAAAAAAAACAGAAAAAAAAAAGAGAAAAAACTAAAAGTAAAAATGAAATAATGAAAACGACAAATCCCGTTTTACACTTTCTCCTCCGTAGCCTCTTCCTCTTGCCGCACGCTGGACCGGACGTGAAATATTTTCTGGGCTTCGTTCGTACTCAATTTTCGACTTCCGTCACCATTTATCTCGTATTCGGACCCAAGGTATGCCGGCCTCTAATCGCGGGTATTAACGATTTAACGATTTATAACGAAGCAACGATTTTTCAGGTAATACGGGTTCTTCGAGGTCAGGGCGATCAATGGGATAGCCGGGCGCGAGCTCGAGGCGTCACGGCGAGTTTCTCGCTAAACGGAATCGGCTTGGTGCCCGAAGAAACGACCGATCTCTATCAGGAGAACGAGGAACTGAAGGTCCTGATTTGAGCTCGATATCTCGAAGGATATTACGCGTAAGACGCGTTAGATCGAGGAAACGTTCCTTCTATCTTTTTTTTTTTTCTTTTGTCTTCTTTTCAGGAAGAAATACAAAAGTTGGCGGCTCAGATCGAGTTTATGAAAATCGTTCACATGGAGGTGCACAACAGGCATATCAAGCCTAAAGTAGGCGGATATTTCAGCGCCCATGGCCACCATACTCACGGTCATCCTTCGGCGGTCCAAAGTCCGATAGGCAAGAGCTCGACGGCCAGTTTTATTTTAAAAGTATGTACCTAAGTCGTCCTCTTTTTCTTTCCTCTCTTTCTCTTTCTACACCTTCGAGGTGGTAAAAATGATCCTTCCCTCCCCAAAAGGAGAGAAGATATATTTTGGGGAGAAATAAATTGATATTAAATAATCGAGCAGAGCGCGGTGGAACGAGGAGCGTCAGCGGCCGCGGCCGCGGCTGTCGAAGATTCGACCTTTCCTTCGGGGAGCTTGCATCGAGCTAGAAGAATGGAGATGCATCAAGCTAGAAGAATGGAGATGCTTCGAGAGAGAAAGGCCGAAAAAGACGGGGAGAAGGAGAAAGGGAAGGAGAAAGAAAAGAGAGAGAGGGCAAGGGAAAAGGAAAAGGATACGTCTCAGCAGCAAGAAGCGGAACAGAGGGAGCTACCTCATTCGAGCTGCGAAAAAGTCTGACTAGTGGTCAACAGCGAAGAGGTGAACAAATTTGAGAATAATTATCACGCGATTTCTCGTATCAAAAGGACTGACTTTTTTTTTTCTTTTAACGACACAGATATGGTTGTGACGAAGACAATACATCGATTCGGCTGAAAAGTCAAAGAAGAGACGAATACGTTCTCGTGCGTCCTCGCACGAGGAAGAAAGGGAAAGCACTCGAAAGTGCTTGTCTCTTGGTGATGTCGACCAGGACGAGAGGTTCCCTTCGAACGGACGATTCACACCTGGTCGTCTCGTCTCGTACGTCTCGTTCCTTTGAAACCTTGGCTAATCGGCTCTTGAAATCGGATTTCAGAGAGAGAGAGAGAGAGAGAGAGAGAGAGAGAGAGAGAGAGAGAGAGAGAGAGAGAGAGGGGGGGAGAGGAAGAGTGATCTACAAACGATCGTATCGATGAAGATGCGACGTCGACGAACTTTCCTTTTTTTTTTCGGAAAGACGCGAACGAACGAGCGAGGCAAATTTTTCTATTCGATTAAATCGTTGAAAGTTCATATCTAGATATGACCATATCACGCGTGCGATCTTTTCTCATTTAACAGAGCAGCCTTTTAATCATTCACCTTCTACGTTCGAAGGTAATACTCGCGAGTATGATCGAATGAAGAGAAAGGATAAGAAGAGAAAGGGAAGGAGAGCGAAAGGTCACATTCGATTCGACCATCGAATCAATCGATACATTGACAATATGTCTAGTAAAAGCGACGAAAGGGTCGTTCGCCGCTTTCTTTTTATACTTTCACTTAAAGTCGAGTAACCCCGACGTAATTAGGTATAACGTATATTCCCCGATTCGAATACTTCTTCGTTTGAGGAACGTCCGATTCGCGATAAAAGCAAATTTCTGTGACGAAATTATCGAATAATCGATTGTGCAACGTCGAAGAGAGCATGCATCGTTATTATGTCATCTCACAAGTACAAATCATTTTACGACAATAAGTGCTTGCGTGCTCGATTTCGAGGGGAAAGTCTGGCAAGTTTCTTCTTGCGTTTATCACCGATTGCAAAATCATGCGTTTATCGTTTCTATGAAAGAAAGAAAAAGCGGAGAGAAAAAGGAACAAGTAAGACATCTCGTCTTCTCGTAAGCCGACAACTTAACCGTTGTCACTTAACCGTTGCATTATATACCGTTGCAAATATTTGAGAAAAATAAGAAATAGAAAGCAAAATGTATCGCTGTTTCTATCTGACGTAACATATGTTAATCGTATTTATATCGTCGTCGTTGATTATGCGATTTAATCGACACGTAACAAGAGACTCGCAATTGTATTTTTACGTAGGTAAAAGCGCACGATAAGACCTACGTACTTACCCACTACGTAGATGCGTAATTACGCGCGTACAGACGAGGACGATCGATACGACGATCTCACGATCGATTAATCGTACGAATCTATGAATGAAGTAGCAAAGCGAACGAACGTCGCTTTGGTTTCCACTAATTGTTAAGATTGAAGCGATCGATTAAAATTAACGTTACGAGAGGGAGAATAAGAAAATGTTCGCGTATCGAGATCAAATATAAATAAAGGACGAACACCGAGAAGCGTAAAGCGTCAAGTCAATATGAAAATTTATCTCTGATAAGAAAGCGTCTGGTCGATACAGTAGCCTTGGACGATAAAGTCACGAGATAAAGTCGCTGTAGGCACGAGTAAATTATATGTATGAGGATTACGTAGGATCGCCGCGATTTTCTTTTCTCCGAATATAGTTTCTAATTGAAGCAAGCGACTTTATATAAGTAAATAAGTAAATTAACAATTAAGAGAAAGTAACGTGCCGTAGTATACACGCAACGCGTATGTCGCTAAAAATAATAAGAAAAGAGATATTGTGTACGTGCTGCTTATTAAACGCGATTATAGCTTAGTCGTAGGACGAAGATGAAAAACGATAGAAGTGCGTTCAAATACACGCGTTCGACTCCGGACAGAGAGATATATGTTCCTCGATTGACAACGGCAATTCAGACGAAAATGTGTACCGCTTGCGCTCGATTAAGCGATATTACAATTTTCATTATATCGTTGCCATTTTTATTCCCACGTTAATCGTTAGTTTGAATCTCGACGTTAACGATCTCCTTAAATACGATCATTTTGTTTCGTCGACGCGTATCCAATCGATACTCATCGAGCGCTATGTGTTTTCTTATATTTTGTAAAGAAAAAAGAAAAACAAAGAAAAAAAAGAAAAAAAGAAAAAGAACAAAAAGAAAGAGCACGAAGGAGGGAGAGAGCAGATATTTTCAAGAGCAGCATAACAAGCAGACTTTGTTCGATCCGGTGACAAAGTGGACGTTAAAATAAATGTGATATGTAAACTTGTCGTCCACTTTAATTCATTCTTCGAGATCTTATTACGGCAGAACGGCGTGAACGATTAACAAGATCCTTCTTTTAAATATTTTCCATCGAATATCCCGATGTCATATGTAAAATAGAAAAAAGGAAAATTAACGTCGTTCTCTCGTATACGTGTGTGTGTGTGTAGTACTTGGGTATGCGCGCGCGCACAGGCATGCTCGACAAATGATTTTCACAATAATGGTCCTTTGTTCTCGCGACGCGTAAAAAACGCCCAAGGAGAGGACGAAGAAAGGAAGAAGGAAAGATCGCTTTCGATGTCGCCTATCGTGAATACCTCCGCGTTTCGACGAAAGCGTCGATTAGTGTTCGTGGTCAACCGACCCGCCCCGTCCCCACCCCTTTTAAATATAAAACAAAAGAGAAAAACGTACGTGATGCAATTGAAAACATTTATACATCGAGAAATTTGATGAAACTCCGTAAGGCTCGTCGTAAGCGCGTGCGTTTCAAGAAAACAAAAAAAGAAAAAAAAAAAAAAAGAAAAACAAATGCAAACGCAGAAAAGATTCTCGTTCATCAATGGAGAGTTACGTAGGCCATTTGTAAACGTGAAAAACGCCGACAAAACGATTTAATATGCGTACCATGATGCTACGGTATATAATTGTCCAATCGTTTAAATCGAGCGAGAACGTGAGAGAAGCTAAAAGCTACAATTTCATAGAATAATTGACCCAAGACATGAGGTCTTGCGGACAAGCGAAAAACATATTTGTAAAGATATACTGTATGTCACGATGAATGTAACGATAAATGAGATGAAAAAACGAGGAGACGCTTTTTCATTTTTCCGTTCCCCTTCCACGAAAAAAAAAGAAAAAAGTAAGTAAGTCCATTGTCTAGTCTTATATCGGGATGCCGTTTAAACGTTTAATTTTCAATTTTACATTTATCATGCAAAACGATAGGAAAGCTCGCTTTATGATCCATTTGCTAATAATATCGGCATCAGATCGATCATTAATAATGATGATCAAGATCGAAAGATGGCACTCGCTGTACCATTATTCGAACGAAGAATATTTTCGGATGGTAACGTCGGTCGCATTGAACCATTCAATATATTTTGTGAAATGCGTTGTCGATATCGGATATGATATAAGCCCGATTGATTTGAAATGGTGCGTTTAATAAAAATTGAAATATTCCCTTCGACGTTGGCTCCCGTTGATCCCAGAATTTCCTTTAATCTTCGACAACAAATTCTACTTCTTAAGTTTCGAGAAATCATATTATAAGTTGAAAATAAATTGATAAGGAGGAAAAATTCAATTACGTGTAAAAGTATTGCCGTACAAAAAAAAGTATGCTCTTACGAAGGAAGAAATGATCGAGAGAGAGAGAGAGAGAGAGAGAGAGAGAGAGAGAGAGAGAGAGAAAATCCGCTTATCTTCCCTCTGATATTCGCGTATAGCTCGGGTCTTTCGTTCGATCCCTTAACTCTTTCTCTTTCTTTTCAACGACACAACAACGTATTACATATGACGATTTCATTAACGCTCACCTTATCTATTAATGAAAACAATTGTTGATAAACGTTGTATAATAATAAGTAAGGAGAGGAGAGAAAACTCCTTAGAGGCCGTATATCTTATAAAACGCTAACAACGAAGAACCGTATAAATAGCGAGAGATTTTTGCATACCTTAATCCAGCAGGTTTAATGCGCTCTCGACGAATGATTTTCCTCTTACGTTCGTTCTCTCATTGGTCGCCGTACAGACAGGCCTCCGGCACGTACGATATTGTAGCAATCCCATTTAAATTGTTAATTCAAAGTCTGCTTGGGGAGAATAACGTATATAATACTCGATACGTAAATATATTCGATCTAGGATGGGCGTGTACGGGACCTAATTAATAACCGATCGATTCGTTCATCTTAACGTAACGTTTACCTAACGAAAATCGAAGATAATTCGAAGAACGTATCTTGCCATTGGAAGACACGTGTCCCATCGGAAACGTTGGAACGTATAAGTGTTGTTGCATGTATGCACGGTATAACAGAATATTATAACTCGAATCGATCCGTATGCGGTAAGCGCGCATAATAATGTGCTTCGCCCTTGATATATAACGTACGAGATGTTTTCCTCCGATAATGAAGGAAAAATAAAATAAAAAAAGAAAAAAGAAAAAAAATGAAAAAGAAAAAAAACAGAGCTAAACTTTGGAATGTTGCTGTTCAATTAAAAGTTAAATAGCTCGTCGTATCACGGGCGTAGAGTATTTACCTAAGAGGTATTTGCTAAACAAGTGAGATTAATAATCTGTCCTAGTGCTTTTCTAAGATTTTTGAAACGTTTATCAATTGTTTTCAATATAAGCTAATTGATTTTAATCGCATTGCTTCTTTTACGTATGCTTGAAAGTAGAAAATATATAAGTGGAAAAGCGTATATCCACGTTGAAATAACGTAAATTTTATGCGCTGCGCAACTAACTTGAATAATTATATTCTTTGATGATGAATTTTTTTTGTTTCCTCCGGATACATTTCTTTTCTCCGTTAATGGATACGTAATGGATGTCGTAAAGAGGTTCTTTGTACGGGCAGACTTGAGAATAAAAGAATAAAACTCTAGTCGTCTGCGTGAGCAGAAAACTAGTTGATCGTAATCGAAAATAGGAACGAGGATAGGATGAGCGATTATCGTCCGATTTTAAAACGAAATTATTTCGCGAAACTTTTCGCGCGTCTAAGACGAATAATCGGGCGGCATTAACGCGGAATTGTCTTTACGAATAGAAAAAACTTCCATAAATGGAGAACGGCAGTGGTGGTGCGCATAAGAGTTAGCTAGCGGCTACTCCGGCATAAGCGATGTCCGCGAGTGACCTTTTTCCGCGAGTGTCGGATAAAATAGACATTCTTTATTGCCGAAACGTATCAAGGTAATAAATTACCAGCGGCGTACTGCAAGTACGTCGACTAATGACGGCTTTATGATCGATGTCGTTAAAACCATATCCTTGTCGTACGTGGGAGTAAAGCTAACCTACGTATATAACCATCTACGTGATGGAGAAAACAGGGAAAGAGATGAAGGAAAATAGAAGATTGAGGTTGGTAGATAGGAAGAATGGGGATCGTCCTTGAGATATGAGATTATCATTGACTCGATAATAAATCGAGCAACGGGCAGACCTGATTTCAATAAATTATCCGAATAAATTGGCGAATCCCCGTATAAACGGCTCACTTAGAAAGGACTCACTTCTTTTTTTTTTTTACGACTAACGTACGTCCTATATCGTTTTAGAACGATATTCGTCAAACTTTACGAGAATCGACGAAACTAATGACCATCGAGGAAATAACGGACGGATGCTCGTTAGCTGGCAACGCGCAAACGACGAAAGAGAGATAAAAATCTAGCCTTGCGTCGCAGGTGTGGTCTTTCACGTAGCTCGTCGTCATCTCCTTAGACTTCCAATATGATACCGATAATACACGAGATATGTTTTACAATATATCTATTCGGCCTGAAGATCGATCCGATCTCGCGTACGCGAAAATAATCGTGCGTACAACTGTCGATAGGTATAATATCGCTTGTTCGTTCGTTTCTATTCAATATCGGAGAGGAGAGTTTCTAATTCGATATAACGCGTACAATTCGATAAAATCGACTTGCACGTGCATTCTAAGAGATGGAAAGCGCGTGATCTACGTTAGATCGTTAAGTTTAGCCTCGCCATGAGACCGCCGCTTTATTGTTTAGCGAGCGAGCTAATACATGGAATCGACTAATGGCATAGGATTTTACAAAAAGAAAGTATCGTGTGGCAATACTGCCCTTGCTCCAAATCGTGAGATCGAATTGCATATGTACCTATCGACATATCGAAACAAAACGGAACGGAACGGAAACGAAACGAAACGAGTCGCGTAAGTCCTCCTTTTTTTAGGCAATAATTTCTTTATTAATTTGTTCGGATCGATAAACGGGATCGTATTCCCGTGATAAATCGATGCCGTGTCATCCAACAACGTGAAAAGTATACGGGCGGCGATCGAACATTCTATTGAATTAATTCGGGAATCGTTTGAACGCCTTTAAATTACCGAATGTTGAGAACGAAAAGAATCGGTTGGACGTCACCTGACAAAGGCAGTCCGTTCATCGAGTGGCGCGAAACATAAGCGGCAGATAAAGGGACAGGTAAACGTTTCTGTTATGCTTGCTTAAATTTGAATAAAAATTGACCGGTGAGAGACATTTCCGTTCAAAGTGCGCTAATTGAGATATCAACGAGCGTCTAAACGGTCATTAAACGTTCGCGTTCATAAAATGAACTCGGAGACTTGCCTCTTTCAAATGCCTTCTCGCAATTCCGTCCCGTTAGTTATCATACTTAATTGTACGATGGAACATTTTCCATCGTCCCCCTCTTTCCTCCCCCTCACCTTCCATGAACTTCTGATTTCAACATCGAACACACCTACTTATATAATAACGTGCACGTTGCCTTATGACACGAGTGTGTTGAAGTAAAGACGATATGAGAAAATGTGCTTTATTATAATACATATATATATATATATATATATATATATATATGCGTGTGTGTATGTATATAATTAGCATAATTTGTATAATCTAACGCGAGAGAGCTATCGTGAAAATTTCGCAACTTTCTTTCAGAATATGCCTGGCTCCCGAACGAAGTGAAAGATACGTCGTGCGCTTCGAATGCGAGACGAATAAACGTTACGATCTTGCCAATTGCGAATTGATTAACATTTTATGCCGGACGATTTATTATATTTTTTGCTCATTTGACAATAATTATTCGACCGCGGCGACGGACGTTTTATTTCATCTTGTTTCATTTCATTGTTCGTTTCATTATCATTCCTCATTTGGTAACAATGAAATCTTTCAATTATCTACGCAAGTAAGTGCACGTACGTATGTATCCTTGCGCCATTACTTGGTGCGCCAAATGGTGGATAAGCCAAATAATCAACGGAAAAATGAAGGACGTCTCGTTGATAAACGACGCCAAGTACTTATCAAGTACTTAAACACGCATGTCGTATCCTGATTTATTACTTTGTTCCTGCGTATTTTCAATCGAATTATGAGATCATTTGTATTCTCTTTTAAAACTAAATGCTCATCAAATGGATACGTATTTACTACCCTTGTCTTATTAGACTTTTTTTTCTTTTATCGGCGACGCAGTCTAGTGGATTAATCGATAATTACATCTATTATACGATGTTCCAATCTTTGATCTCTCGCTTCGTAATTAGAAGCAAGTATTTCTTTGATCACGGACTATCACCTATGTCTAATCGTGCTCGATGTATTTCGTCGGTTTTCTTCCTATATTTCTCATTCGTTAAATTATCTCGTATATATATATATATATATATATATATATATATATATATATATACCTATATATATATATACCTCGTTTCTCGTTCCAATAATCTTAAGTTTGACGGATTAGATAGCTTTCGTGTATTATGTCACGAGGCCAAATCTATCCTATATCGTTGTATTCTTCAGTCGAGTAATTCTTCTAGTTAAGACATAGTACATTCTAGTTAAGCGCGCGAACTTTCTTCCTTCCCATTCTTACTCTTTTTACCTTCGTACCTTTCAACTACTCGGGTATCAGTGCGCGGACGATTCTATGATCACGTAATCGAAAAGCAGATGTTTACTAGAAAAGATGCGAGAGAGAGAGAGAGAGAGATGTCCGTTTCTACCTTTCTCTACTATCCCTTTTTCGAAGGAAAAGATGAAAAATTCATTCCGCGAGGTCGTCGTAAAAATATCGATCGGAAATTGGCTTGGAACGTCGAAGGATTTCGACTTTTTGTGGGCCGATTAACTTGGCTGCGCTCGATCGATCGTGCCTTTGTACCGGGACAGAAAGAGAGAGAGAGAGAGAGAGAGAGAGAGAGAGAGAGAGAGAGAGAGAACAAGTTCCATAGCGAGGGATAAAAAAGCGAAAAGAAACTGTGCGAGAAAAAGGCGGATATTCCGACGGTAGACGCTAACGTTTGGCGAGTCAGCAATTAAGCATGAAATGTAAACAATTATTTTTCCTCCCGTCTATCAGTTTCGGTTCGTTTATTTTCTCGCTAGTACACACGTTCCATTCTACACAATTATAAAATCCACAAGGTTGTAGTCTAATAACGGGAGCGAGTCGTGCTATTGCTAAGAAATCTTACAAGGCCAAGGTGTTATCCAAATTCACGAAGCCCACGTTTTGTATCACGCTCCTTCCTTATTCTTTCTCTTTCTCTCTCTCTCATTGTCAGTCATTACCACCAGTAGAGGTTATCATTATTAGGTTTGCCTTGTTATTTTGTCTTCGTTCGATTCGATTTCATATTATTCTATACTTGTATCTATCTCTTTTTCCATCTCGACGTTAAAATCTATGCATCGATCACGAACGGTACATTTTTTATAATGTCGGAAGGTGTGGAGATTTACGCAACGATTTCTTCTTGTCTCAGTCTCCTCCCACGTATACATGCATATGCATTTCTTATCGACAGATGTTGTTGGATGCAACCCACATCGACCGACTTTAAAACGTTTTTCTGTCCGTCTTACAATTATAAAATGAGAAATATTGAAAATATATTTCAATCTTCTTTCGTTCGATGATAGCTTCCTAAGTTACTCTTATTCTCTTTTAATTATTCGTAATCTATCCGCTTTAACGAACAAAAATCAAAATGAATTTTCTCTCTCCTTAATATTCCTTTCTCTCTCCTTAATATTAAATTCAATGATACTATTTCATTTGTCGGCTTCGTACGTTTGTACGATTGTCGGTTTTGTACCTTTTCGTTTTATTAAAAAGACGCGCGTCAAATAATACCTGACTCGCGGTCATGGAAAGTCCAATGACGGGCCTTCGCGCAGCCATAGAAAGTACATTTTATTCTTTTCTTCACGACGTCTTATAGATAATTATTAGAACCGATACTTTCTTATATATTGCGCCACTGTTGTACGATTATTTTCACCGTTTATACTCACCTTACTGTTAGTTCATTATAATAACTTAAGCATGTAATGCAAGTGCATGTATACGCTTGTCGCGTTCACATATCGTTCACCGCCTTTCGCTCGTAGCGTATGTGCCTCGGGTATGGCAAAATATGAACTAGAAGCATAATAGGGAAGTACTATGGATCGGTGTAATACGGCTTGCCTAGATATATATATATATATAGATATAGATATACGACATATTTGTCTTAATCGCATGTGGTTTAATAAGGAATGGCATGTAATGCGGAAAGATTTAATAGTCATTCGCGTATAAATCTATACGTGAATGATGTCCAATGCCCAAAAATCCTCGTCGACGAACCCTACCCGGCCGCGAATGAAAATATTTCATATGTTTGAAGTAAAAATAAGTCTTCGTTGTTGCTGCAAGACAACTACCAATTTATTACGTTATTATATGTATTTATTGATAGGCAGAAACTGTGTTGTCGAAAGAACAACGTTTTTTTCACACGATTCTTTTAAAAGCAACTAAAAGCTTTTTGAAAAATTCCAAAAATATTCGCTTATATCTTTGCATTTAAAAGGAGACCTTGATCGTCAAAATCAGTCGAGAATTATGGCTGTCGTTAGTTTAAACCGTTATAAAACCAGGGATGATCGAACAGCCTTAAAGCGTTATGTCGTTTATATACAAACAGAGATATATGAAAGGTGAGAGAGAGAGAGAGAGAAACGGGGACGCATCGGTCAGATTTCGATTCGCCTCGATCATACACATATCCATGACAGAACTTGGAAACGATTAGTTACCTTTGAAAACCGCTCTCACGCGATAGTCGTATAAAGGAATAACGTTAATGGTGATTCGTTGATCGGTGACATATTTACCATCTATAAGATATTATCTTTTATAAATCTATTATAAATAAATAATAGGATAGAAAATCATGTTAATGAGCATAGCAGGTGCGATATTTGGTAGCATTTTAACAGGAACTTACTATTATTGCAGTGAAGCGGCGATGAAGGAGAAATGTACAGGTAAATAGAGATACGATCAAAGTAATGGTATGGAGTTTAGAGTGAATTTGAAGAAAAAGAAAGATAATCAAGCCTTAAGAACGAAGAATTTTAGTTTATCATTAATGAATCGACAGAGAACACAAAGAGTGAATATTTTAAATCAATATAACAATAAACCCATGTATCTGGATAACAATATCAATGTAGATATCCTAAATACTAAAGGGAAGTATTATATGGCTTATGATTTTATTTGAATAAAAGATTATCTATAATGGTATATCATTAAAGGCGAAAACATGATTTATTTTATTAATAGAAAAAAGTTCACCGGCGAGGACAAACCACAAACCACCGAAAAGACCGCCTCGTAAGCGAAGATTCAATAATGAGGAACAATTATTAATCTGCAATCGGTCAGTCGAAGGAAAAATATTGAGTGAATTATTATTGATATTAGCGATTGTTATCGTATCTTTCTATTATTTTCGATAAATTTTTAGATCGACTACGAGCGAATCCTCGATCGGGATCGATCATGGCCATGCCACGAAAGTAGTAACGGCTCAGATCGAAAAGAATCCTAATGAAAGAGGATCCGTTGAGCAAGATAATTTGAATTTATTGACAATGATATTGTCTTCGTTCGACGTCGATTTAGCGTCGGACGAATCAGCGTTAAGGGGATCGGAAGAACGGTCGCTCGTGACGTCACCAAACGATAAACACGATCACAAGGAAAAGGCTTTGATGAGGAAAACGTACGTACGTACTTAAGAGTTATTTTCAGACTATATCGTTAGTCTTAACGATCGTTTTTACCAGGAAGTAACCACCATACATTATTATGCGTATACATATCTAATTGTATGAGAAACAGCTGGAAGTCTGTTAAGAACGGAGACTAAGCTAGATTAATGAAGAATAAATGATCTTACCTGTTATTACCATAAATCGTCTTTTAGGCTGAACATGGTAACGTCCCAGAACGATGAAACGGAAAGATTCTATTTGAATATTCCACCGAAAACGTCCTCGTATTTGTCTCCCAAAGGTCAATCGATAGATCATTCGTTATTTCAAATTAATCCTACGATCGATGCTTCTACATCGACAAAGATAAATTATCAAACGCAAGAACTTAAAGATTTATACAATGAGCAAATGATATTTGAAAAATATTTCTATTTTCCCAATAAGAAGGGTAATGAAGTTAGCAATTCGCAAAACGATAATACTCAAGTCGTCATTATCCAAGTGAGAAAATATCGACTGAAAGATGTCTATAAGGAAAATGGTAAAAACTCGAGATCCGAGATTTTATCAAATAATATCTCGTCTTTTCATACGACTAATTTATCGGCCACTGCGGACTATGCGAATTCACGAAGTAAAGAATATTTGTTGAAAAAAGGATCAAAGAAATTCAAATCAAAAAAATTGTCAAAGCTCTTCCAATGTCACAAATAATATTGATATAAATGGTACTCATATTTATATAGAAGGAAAATTTTGAATAAATTTTGGAAAGTGGAAATCAGTCCGTCAGCGGGTTTCCCGAAGAATTCATTTGGAGCTACGGAAGCGACCGATTTTGTTCGAATTCACGTTGGTATGTACGCATGGAAAAATTTAGAAATGACCATTCGCAGTATTTTCTTGCTTCGATATCGCTTGCTCGCGCATTCTCAACCTCGCTTTATTAACTCGAGTTGTTAATCTTGTTCGATCCTTTACATTGGAACGATTATAATTTCAATCGACCGCGCGAGCGAACGAAAGGCAAAGAGGAAGGAGGATAAGTGCATGAAAAATTGTCGCTAATTATCACCAACGTGCGGCTCGTATTCTATTGGATATATATAAGGAACAAAAAAGAAAGAAGAAAAAAGAGAGAGAAAAAGAAGGGATCGAATCGTCGTCTTTTTACGAAGATTCGATCGGTACTTCTTGTCCGATCGCGCTCGTTTTCTCGATCTACGCTTTATGGCATATCCGCGATATCATTGAGATAATCAAGTAACGAGTAGGAAACGCTTGGCGAATTGAAACGATTGAAAAAAAAAATGAGCTCGTTACGCGAGTATCATATTATCCGTAGATTGGAATTCGTTTCTTCGAAATTGCCTTAGAGAAGGAGCTTCCATGACGGTCCTACGTGAAGTGTGATTTCTATCTTGTTATACCAAGTTTCATTGGGAAAGACAAAAGTGATAAAAGAAAAAATATGTCCTTTTTAAACTTTCTCTTCCTAGCTACGTAGACCCTAGGCGAGTAAGCAACTACTTACACTCGTCGTCGTTTTATCCGATCTCATTTGTTTGTCCTTTTTTTTCCTTCTATAATAAATCAAATAATAATGCAGTAGTAGCAATATATTGTGTAACATTGTATAATGAATCATCGACAATAAAGTAATGTGAATTCGTGTGAAACCAAACGTATCTTAGTCGAAACGTTATATGATCGCTTGATTATTTCCTTTGGCTGTCTCGTTATAACTGAAATAAGGACGCGCCAAGATTCGTGTCCTTTTCCGTTAACTCGAGATATTTCTTTCTTCCCTTTTTTTCTACCAGCGTAGGCGAGTGTATTTGTTTCGCATCGTGGATCCCCGTAATCGATCGTCCAACGAGCAACTGCCACCACGACGCTTGTACTTGACGAATAAGATGTATAGAAAGCACGCCGATTCGTGAAGCGTCCTCGTTTCATTTTGTCGGTTTCGTGTTTCCAATCGAGTGAGGCCGATTTTCAGGAAATCCCAGATCTCGAGGCAGTCGTTATTTCTCTTTTCTTTCATTTCTCTTTGTGTACAAGATAAAAAGTATCTTGTACGCGCTCTCTCTCTCTCTCTCTCTCTCTCTCTCTCTCTCTCTCTCTCTCTCAATAAGATATACTTAGAGAGCATTGACCGTAGCGTGTCGCTTGGCAATCGCTTCGAATTAGGTTCGAATTACTCTAGTCAAAAAGTCCTGATTTCTCCTTCCGATTCTACACCTTGCGTCACTACCTTTCTCTCTCTCTCTCTCTCTCTCTCTCTCTCCGTCTCTCACTCTCACTCATATGCCTCTGGAGGCTCACGCGCATCGTTTACGGCCGAACACCTCGCGCGATTCAATGACGTATCATCCTCTCGTGACGCTAGTCAACCATTTGCGCACGTTTTCCTGCCAACATGACATTTTCGTCGTTCCAAGATGATCGTTCGGCCAAGAAAATATTAATAATAAACCCGTCGATTTAGAAACAATTTTTTTTTAATGAAAAATTACATCCTAAGCCACTTGGACGTCAGTCATTAATATCCACTATCTCTCGTTAGATTTTTCTTATTTGTCACGTGAAATACCTTTGCTTTTCCGTTCGTAATGGCGCGTTGCTTAGTCGACAGGGATTAAGAGGAAAAGATTTTTTTTTGGAATAAAAATATATTGAATAAAAAAAAAAATGAATGAACATATTTAAGTATCTACTTATCTACGCGCGCTCACGTACATATAATATTTGTACGTGTTACATACTTATGTGAGAGATAAATAAAACTCGCGAACGTATTTACGTAGCTATTCTTAGCCTTGATCAAGCTCTATCGTAACCTTGAGAACGCTAAAGCGAGATCGAACGGGTAATAGCACGATCCTAAAAATCGATCGAAAGGAGATAAAGAAGAATGGAAAAAAGGAACTTTGGTCTCGTGTCGAATTCATTTATTATTTTTATCGGAAAAGAAGCTTCTATGCGTGTTAGATATATGAGTAAGCATTTACTCATGTATCAATGTAGACTTCCTCGAAGGAAAAGAATTGTTCTTCTCGCGAATTAGTTCCTTTCCTCGTCGATGTGAGCGATCGAATAAAAAGTTGACAAATCCAAATAATCGAGGTATATATTTGAGGCGAGCCGATAATGAAAGGGCACTTGAGGTACTCAAGTAAGTAAATAGATAAACTTTTTCTATGTAAATGGGAGAAGATGTTGTAACGCGAAACGCGTGTCTCGATTGTCTACGTTGCCGGCCTTGATTGGATCTCGGAAGATAAATAGGGAGAGACGTAAAACGATCGTTAATTATTATCGTTATTTATTATTGTTTCATACGTTTCATGCGACTTCTCGATGAGAAATTACGTCGTCGAAAACCGTAACGGTCGGCTTTTCCAAGCGTCTCGTATTATTTCTTTTGCTCTTTCTCCTCTCGTGTGCTAAAACGTACTTTCTTTTTTCCTTTTTTCTTTTCTTGTTTTGCTTTACAATCGTTTGGAACGCTATCTTATTTGTTATCCTTATCGTAAAGAAAAGAAGAAAATATTGGAAAGGGATAGAAACGATCAATGATCCAAGTTGACGAAGGCACGACCGATCGAACTTGGAAATAGCTTTCGAAATTCGAAAATCGGCGTAGGTGGGGTGAGTGTAAAATGAGTTCGTTGAACTAGCGTCAGACCTTAATTACCTTCGCGAATAACTACCGACCTATAGCTTTTACGTATACCATATACACGATATAAAAGCTTATGGTAGATCGAATTATTTCTCTGCGCCAACCGTGCTCGCGTTAATTCGATCGAACGAATTCCATTAGAATTAGGGATACGTATTTTGCGCGTCGACGAGGGAAACTCGAAAAGCAACGATCGATAACGCGGATACATTGTACGGTACTTACCACAAGTATTAAAATTGTTTCGTCATCATTGATTTTCTAGTCTACGTGCGTCAGCAGATTTTCAATAGAAAGAATGGCTCGAATGGTTGCCAAGAAATTTGACTTTTTTCTTTTTTCAACGAAACGAATATCTCTAACGAATAACGATAATCGATATTGAATCTCATGCTCGATAATTGAATTGTTACGCTTTACGCTTTATCGTATTCGCTTTAATGATTCCTATGGTGTTAGATCGTGCAACAATGAAATTAATTTCAAAAGAACCCAAAGCCTCTTGTCTCTTCTCTTTTCCCTGAAAAGATAAAAAAAAAGAGAAAGAAAAGAAAAAAAAAGAAAAAAAAGAAAAAAAATGGAAAGGGCTCACAAGCTCCGATAACTCATCCGACCTATTTCATAGGGTAGCTATTCTCGAGGAGATAGCTCGAGGATAATATATGTGCGGTCTTAGCGGGCCCTGGATTTTCTCCGAAAGATGCACTATACACTTTGGTGGTATTATCCTCCGACCGACATTATCGCCGAATCTCAGAACATTTCGGGGCCTGCTGTTTCGGATTTTCATAAATAAAGATGGGTATTCGGGAATGTCGGAAACGACTCGTTCGAGCGAGAAAAATGAGAGAAAAATAAATGCGCGCCCAATGAATATAGGCGAGAAACATACGTACCTTTTACGTACATAGATAGATCCGTTAAACGGGCAAAGGCAATCACTAACGGATATATATATATATATATATGTATATATATATATACATTCTCTATATACGGTGCTTAAACGGCATTAGAGTATTAGGAATATCACCGTTTCCTAGACGAGAACTCGCGTTGATTCGAGAATTTCATATTCATTACCCGGCTAACGACAAAATTAACACGCTCCGATGACTTTTCACCGATTAGTGATTAGGCATGAAACAAAGAAAGAACGGAACGGCATAAGTGAACTATCCTTGAACTCGTTGAGTCCGCCGCCGTCTAGCATAGCAACGCCATTAACGATTCTCTGTGTCACGGATAATTGTATCTCTCTTTCTTTAAATACGTCGCAATTATCCATATTGCGATAATAAGAATAATTAAAATACGCTCAATTACGTCTCCTCGCGATAACTTAATAATTTATAATCAACGCTTGAGACGTGGGCTCGATCGCCATATCGGTAGATTGGTAATTTCATAGAGTTGCACTCGTTAAAATTCTATACATGAAGGCATTTAGATATCGACTTGAGATTTATACGTTTTTTCCATTTTAAATTCGTACGACGAAAGTCGGACCGATTATGTACATGTCCGGTGAGAGAGGTACCTGTATACGCACGAGTTCTCTCGGGTCTGACAATGACCCGATTACGAAATTACGGGTATGTACGATCGTAAATTGTATAGTACAAGTCCCAAGAAGGAGGAAAGAGCTTGAGGAAGGAAGAAATAAAAAAAGGAGAAGATAGTGACAGACGTAATTAAGAATTGGCTATTAGTCGTATCGAAAGGAGTTGCTAAGAAGCGAGAGTGCCTTGCTAACGGCAAATGCTACGAACGAGTCAAGGTCTTTGTCAAAAGCGATTCTCTTCAGAGGAGTCCCGTCAGATTAAAAGAAATTCAAAAGGAATGATCTTATATTTTCGATATTTTTTATTTAGCCATCGAAGCGCCGAAAGTGATTCAAACACGCAGGGAGCATCTTCGAGAGCTTCCGCGTCGTCGTCGTCGTCGTCGTCGTCGTCGTCGTCGTCGTCGTCGTCGTTGTTGCTGTCCATGGATTACGCACGCTCGCGATGGCGAGCTCTCGTAATTATTAAAATCCTCTCTGGTTGCCTGACAGAGTGTCCCTTCTGCCAATGACACGCTCATTGTTCTCCCGTCAAACCCAGGCCGAGGTTTTCCGAGCCCGTAGAAACCCACTTTGGCTTTGATCGTTCACCGTCATAAGTTTTGCGAAGACATTCTCCAACGATTGAATCCAATTGAATTCGATCGGTGATATTTTGTTGCTATTTATTTTTTTTTTTGTTTTCTTTTTTATGCTCGAATACTCATCGACTCCTCCGTGGACTTGAGAAAACTCGGACGAACGAGATGGAGGAACGGAAATAAAGAAATCTCTTTTACGATGGAAAAGGATCGATGACTGATCATCGATGATAGATCTGTCGTCGACAGAAGGAAATAAAGATAATTATATTTAGTATTTGATCAAAAAAGAAAAATGCTAAACCAACGTGCCGTCGGTAGTTCGTTGCGTCGCTTTAATCCTTGAAAGGTAGGGATCTCGATTTCTGGTCGAGGTCGAATCGAAGTCCGCGTTCGATTGCTTCGGTGAACGCACTGTCGAGCATAGCTTATCACTGTCCTTAGTTAAATTATGCCGGACCGTGATTCACAGTGAAAAGAGAAAAAGAAAGAAGCATGTAAACTCGATAATAATATTTCCATATTGTGTTGGTGGTGCAACCATTTTGGAGAAAAAGGTAAACAGTGCCTTTGCAAACCTTTTTCCTCTTCTTACTCACGGAGCCGCTTAAACCACAAAATGAGCATAAAACGAGCAATGAAACTTTTTTCACTTCATTTCGTTATATTTTCATCCTTCTCGATTGAAATTTTCTTGTTATTATATATAAATGAACTTTACTCCGTTTTACGTTTTCATTGTTTTTTTCGCTCTGAAATATGCGCGTTTATCTGTGTGTGTATGTATGTAACATATGTATGTAAGTAGGTAGTTATGCGTCTTCCAGTCGCACACTTGCCTGACCGCTTCGTCACTCGCACACCCCTGACGATGAATATTAATTGCCATTGGCATTTGAATAAAGTTTGTCATAATAACTGTATCTGACTCTCTCTCTCTCTCTCTCTCTCTCTCTCTCTCTCTCGCTCGCTCGCTTGCTCGCTCGCTCTATCGCTTGTCGTATCGTACATAAATCACGGAGATCCGATTATAACTCAGCTGCACTTGTCGTGCTCGACTATGAATTAAAGAACGATCAATGGAACTCGTACAATCTATCGCCGTCAAATAGATAGTACTGATTTATATTATAAAGGATCTCTTTGAAAACGTAGAAACTCTTGCAAATCTAAATGATTGTTAAAGAACTTTTTGTTAAAACGCGGAAAACCGATTCGAGAATCAATTTTTTTTTTTTTTGACAAGGAGATCGATAGAATATGGCGTCCAATGAGCGCACGGACAATCCTATTATTTTCTTATAAGAACGGTGATTAAGATCAAAGTTGATTTATTTGCAGGAGGGTGTGGAAAGTCGTTTCGTCCTATGCTAGACGCGCCTTTTAACGCGTCAACGCTCAAAGGACGGAGGCGCGTAATCGAACGAACGGCACACTCCTACCCAATGAATATTCATCGGACTCTTCGTTCGACACGCCTATACGTCTATTCGTTTAAGCGTCGCACGCTACCGACACGTGCTCTATTCGTTTTATAATAAGACCGAAGGAAGACCGAAGGAAGACCGAAGGAAGACCGAAGGAAGACCGAAAGAAATCGAGAAAGATTTAATGGAAGGCAAGAAATTTGAGAAAAGACAAGTGCTGGATCATTTCGCTTCGTTGTCGCAGACATGATCGTGCCAAATTCGAAAAGAAGAAGAAGAAGAAGAAGAAGAAGAAAAAGAAGAAGAAAAAAGGAAAAAGGAAAAATGCAAAAAGAAACGAGATAACGATCGGACGATTGATTATCGAAGGATTAGCATAATCAAGCGCGTTTGGTGCGTTTGCCGCAATGATTCCGTACCGCTTTCAAGGCTCTTTAGAGATCGATAGATTCACAATGAGGAAATAATTGCTATACCATTGTGCGAGTTATTGAATGTGCGTCGCCGATAGTGGATCTCGCAAAAGTGTTACTGAGTCGGGTTGGCACTCTCATTTGCCGCGTATTATTCCCGTTAAAATTTATCATTAACGATTCAATTATTTAACAAATTTAAGTACCTAAGGGTAAATAAGATCAAAACGTTTTGCAACGGCGAATGACGGTTAAATAAGTGAATAATGACACCTATGGTGCCTTGTCGTCGAATCGTCTTGAACGATAGACACGGCGATTGCAGGCCGATATCATAGAGCTACCGCGAGTACGAGTCTAAGAGACGCGCACAAAGGCCTACATACATAGATAGATATATATATATATATATATATATATACGTATCCGTGTAAATCGACCTTTAGAACGTTTCCGCGATCTTGCCTGGTAATTAACGTTACGATCCCAACTACCCAACGACGTAACGCACTTTATGCGCCGCTCGTATGGATCGCGAACCAACGATCCTTTTTGTTTCTTCCTTTTTCCCCCATGATAAAAGACGAATGGTGGAATGACGGAACGGAACAAAGATCCCGTCTAACTTTTTATGTCCGCGTTTACTCGCACGAACATTAGATCCTTCTATCGCCATGAATCACAAAAGATCTGTTATATTATTGTAGTGATTGTAGTGATGAATTCTGACCTTTCAATATCTAGACGCACACGTGCGTAAAGACACGCTTTACATGTGCACACTAATTTCTGTCCCGGTCCAGAAAATTATTATTTAAACGAGCGTTGCGCGTCTACTTACCTATCTGGAGATACTCGTGCATGCACATAACGAATTCTGTTCGATCTCGTAACGTTTCCATCGGCCTTGATACACGAAAGCGTGATAGCTAATGTGGTAGTCACGTTTCTCGTACCAACTTCGATGTGCGATTGTTAGAAATATCATATGTGTCCCGAATGAAAATAAATCTTTGTGGAAATATCCGAATTTTACGGGCGAAACGCAAAACTAATTTGCATTTAAAAATCCTAAGATCCTAAGTGACTCACGAAGGATTGCAATAAAATAAAGGGAACGCGATAAAAATTAGAATTTCTCGTGGCAGAAGATTAAAGCGCTTAAAGCGGTAATTACTGGTTCAAGCTCTCCTCCATATTTCTCATTCATAAGGGTTCATTCATTGGCGAAAATAGGACAACGCGAGGTAACTGAGTACTTACCTACGAGGAGTAAGTACTTAATTGCGTAGCTATCTATACATCCATACGTACTACGTAAGAACTATTACGAGGGATCGTCTCGCAATAGCTTCGATCGAACGCATATCTCATGACTTTATTTAGCTTTCTCGATCTGACCTAGAAAAAAGGTAAGACGTACTGGTATTGCGTTATTACGAAGCTATCTAGAATCGTCCGATCGAAATTTATTGATTTTCCCTGAAAAAGAAAGGAAAAAAGGAAGAAAAAAAGAAGCACTCGGATTTTCCGAATAATTCGAGAGACATAGATAAATAGTAAGCAGACGTAATAGTATGCGTTCCTCGGTCGGGACTTCGTAGAAGAATCAACGTTGTTCGTGAAGCTGTTAAAAAGAGCAAATATTATATTTCCAACGTTCGCGATGATCTTCCATCTGTGACTCATCGTGAAACGATACAAAATAGATGGATATTTCTTTCGCTTCTTTCGACGAAACTCGATTGCTAGAGGAAATTAAGTACTGTCTCGGGAATCCTTGATACGGCCGGATTGGTCGGATAAACGGAATTCGCTTTAGAGGCTCTTGGGAGTTCCCGAGACGCGTATACACGCCTCCAGGCGCAACTACTCGTGACGTATTATTCGTGACGTCGACGAGCACACGTGCGAGCGATCGTAGCGTGCCGACGATTGAGGAAAATTTTACTACCTTTTGCGATAAGACCATCTACTCTGGGCTCATTTTCACTCAATTTCAAATTTACAGAATTTTCCATTATTTACGTATTATCCTTTCCTTTCGGCGATTACTCGCGATCGTTAACGCGAGCCTAGCTATGAATTTCACTTTTCTTAAAGCTTTAGAAAGTGTTTTCGTATTTTTGATGAAAAACATTCCGATGGCCGATTGAGCGAGGTTTGATTTCTCCATAGATAGATATATCTATGTATATATATGTATATATGTATATATGTATATATATATATATATATATATATATATATATATGTGTGTGTACGCATCATATATATATATGTGTAAGCGTGTGATAGCGATTTTAACGGCTTCCATGCAAATCAACGCAAATAATCGCAAAACCAAGCAAAATAGCATCGACTAATAAGAGCCGGGAAGAAGGTATTCGCGAAAAGTAAAGAAATAGGTAAGGGGGATGGCAAAGGAACGAACGAAGGGTATAGAATGTATTTATTTGCGTATTTGTTTCTTTCTTTCGTAAGTAGCGCGTTTTATCTATTATCCGATCGTAAATCAGATCGTACGATAGGAGGAGCACGAGTTTTCTAACGCGGAACCGATGTAGGCTCGAGAATTTTTAATCGCATACAAATTATGCACAATCGCAAGGAGACTGAATATTCAAGGAGAGCGCTATTAATCGATCTACGAGATATCGTGATTAATGGAAAATGCCGAAATGCAATCGATCGCTGATCTACGACTCTTAACTATGTACTTATCTATTACAAATTTCTCATACGAGAAATTAACGTAGGTATATGACGTTTGTATATGACGTTTTCTCGGGCAAATAGCTCGCGAATGGAGGAAAAGAATAATTCGTTTTGATCCTTGGTACGAGATAGAGGCAGTACTTTTTTTTATCTAATATCGAACAGACGTGCAAAATGATCGACATTGTGTTTGCCTTCTTCCGTAAACGTACATAATTACTTACTTACCGAGGTATGTAGGTAATCTCGGCCGAATAAAGATAAAGAAATAATGAACCTACGCGCTATCGGATTTGGAATCGATTTTCTTTTACTCGGAAAGAGATGGCGAATTGGTGAAAAAGTGACGATTGTCACGGAGAGTCCCATGGGATGGGGAGAGGGCGATGGAAAGTACGCGCATTAGAAGGACGAGAGGAAGGAGGAGGAGAGAGAGAGAGAGAGAGAGAGAGAGAGAGAGAGAGAGAGAGAGAGAGAGAGAGAGAGAGAGGTTTGGGAGGAGGAACGCGATGCGCCGGAGCGTGGAGTAGGTGGTGGTGGTGGTGGTGGTGGTGGCGGCGGCGTCGGCGGCGGCGACTGCGAGACTGTAGTCGATGGACCACCCGAAACCTCGTGGTGGGGTGAGGTGGGGGCACCCCTGACCCCGGTATTAGCTGGCGCGGTGAAGGGAGGCAACGTTTATATGCCGCGGCAATCCGCCCCGTAGACGCATTCGCTCGTACGCTTCGTCCAAAGAGGACTTTACGAAATAGAAACGGAGACACACGCTGTCTCATCTTTTTCGTGTCTGCTCGTCCTTTTCGTCGAGTCGTAAAATACAAGGAGGCATTACGGATATCGAGGCTGAAGGAGGACAACGTTAGAAGCATTTTATTCATTCGTTTCGAGAATAAACATTTCCCACGTTATTTAGCTCGATAACGTAGTAATCGAATAAAAAGCGAAAGGGTGAGAGATAGAGAGAAAAGGAATCATCATTTTGAAGTTCCTCCAGGTCCAGCACGACATCCTCTTTGCCATTTTGTAGGCAGTGAGGGAAACGCTGCGCTCTCGAAGAAGCAGAAAGTTTCGACGAGTTTCAAACGACTCTTGCAGTTTACTGCTTCGCGAGGGCTGATATCTACGTCAGGCCACGCATTCGACGACACGAAGGGAAAGAAAAAAGGGGCAGACAAAGGGGCATTCAAAGCTTTCCGAAGAATAAAAGAGGAGAGAGTTTGAAGAAAGCAATGGCCGTCGCAGCAGCTCAAAAAAACCGCGAACTCTTCGCTATTAAAAAGTCTTACAGCATCGAGGTAAGTTACCCACATCTTTTTTCGTAGATACGATGGTATTGGATGTTAAAGATTGAAGAAAATAGAATGTGAAATATTCAGAAAATATCGAGTAAAAGTCGATTAATCGCGTTAGAAAGAAACGGTCGCTGTACGCCGAAACGATCCCTCGTAGCGGTTAGTTTGGAGATTTCAATGCGCGTGAATTCGGTCGCGCATTGCATTCTCATTGAATGCGAGTGGATCCTACGTAACGTTAGCTTTGTAAATATACGTGACTTTTGCGCTTGTGTCTCGGTAACTTTCGCAAGAACCAACGAATAATTGCATGAGAGTTGCCTCTTTGAACGTTTATTTCCTTTATATTTACGTATTCCACTTTTTCTTTGCGTCTCGTGTTCGCCGTCAACGCAAGTGAAATTCCCGCATAGGTCCGTCATGAAAAAACACAATCGTCTCTTTCCAATGCGCGTGTATGTATATATATATATATATATATATATACATGTATATATACATATACACACCTAGGTAGCTACGTGGAACAAGGCAAAAGGAGATAAAACTTGCAAACCGTTTCCTTTTACCGTATTTCGATATTATCTTTACAAAGGTCTCGTCATTGACGCAAACAAATTGCGTCCGTTAGCGTTCGACACGTAATGACCGTTGACGAGCCCGATAAGCGATACGAGCGAGACGATTCCTATGTTTCTTTTCCTTCTTTCTCTTGATTTCGTTATTCCTCATGAAAGGATTATCTCGACGTTATGTCTATTTAAAGTCGTATTGCAAATGGGAAATCGTTTCGTCGATGACTAACCAAACCGTAAATAAACCGTAACTACTAATGTGTCCGTCCATCCATTCCGAGTTTACTCGATCGGCAACGAATTTTTTTCGACTTTAAAAAGATTTTATCGATGCCTGGATGAATTACGTAAAGCTATAAGTACTTTGCTTACGAGGAAACTTCGATTCTACATTCATATATAATTTTCTACTTGTGAACACGTATTATTAATTATGATATTCGCGACTCCTCTCTCTCTCCCTCGTTCCTTCTTTTGAGAAAAAGAAAGAAAAAAGAAAACCAAGACAATCCATGTAACTTCTTCCATTATTATTGATGTAATTGTACAATTGGTCGTTTAAAGGGAACAAGTTGTGTCGGAAGGAGGAAAGAATAGAAAGAATAGAAAAATTTTTTCCTCCATATATATGTATATATATATATATTTATTTATTTATTTATTTATTTAATTATTTATATCCACATAGATCGGTCGGATCGATCGATCTGGTTCGACGACCAGTCGCATAAATTTGCCTGAATTGAAAAAGTACAAGAAAAGTAAGCAAGAGGAAAGTAAGCATAGAGGAAATGGGAAAATAATAGGAACGATCGTTGGAAGAATGAATGCGTCGGAAAGGAAAGGAACGATTAGCGATCGCAGAGGCGAACGTAGACGCGATTGTAGACGCGACTGTAGAATCTCTTTGACGGATGCGACTCGACGTTCTTTTCGTTCGTAGATCATGCATTCTCGTTAATACTCGCGTGTTTAGTCATTACTTGAACCTTGAGTGGCAGATAGGTGCGAATCACCTACATGTACGTGCATTTCATGTGCAACCTAACTGCCTGTGGTTTTAACATCGTTACGAGCTTGATCACGAACGAAACTCGAGAAACTCGTGTTTTTTTTTTAGCGATCTATCGGTCTCTACCGTACTACCAGCAGTACTATCGATAACGAGACATGAACGGTGGTGGACCCGTGACTCATTCGAACGGAACTTGCACGCGCCCATATCTGGCCACCCGATCGGATCGTGTAGAATCGGGCTACGATCGGATTGTGTCCGGTAGAAGCTAGGGTGCGCGAAGATATGACCTTGGCTCCTTACAATCGAGATCTCGGTGTATCTTTGCCATCGAAATGTCGCGATGTACGCAGTTCGGAGATATCGGTTTTGTTGTTTCTTTTCTCTCTCTCTCTTTTCACGATTCAGCGATCATTTGGTATACCTTATTGCAAAATCGTTCGGTCTCATTTAACGCATGATAATTAAGAATATATATATATATATATATATATATATATATATATATATATCATAAATATGAGAATAAAGGAGAGAGGGACTGTAAAATAGCGAAGAGATAAACACTGAACGTTGCTCCTTACTGTAACGTTATTCCTTTATGCGTTTAACGTTATTGCTTGACGTTGGTTTGTGTGTGCATGAAAGAGAGAGAGGGAAGGTCTCACGTTAAAACGTCAAGCGAGCTGAGGATAGATGATAGAAAAAAAATTGGAGTATAATACCGGACATGGACATTAAAACGTTTACGAGCACACCTTCGTGCACACCTTCATCGGCATGTTAATTATTCGAGACTGCTAATTGGTGGTATTTGAATAGCGGTTCTCGCGAGCGCGGGCGCAATCGTTGGATTCCTTTCGTCGATCTCCTCTGCTCTCTGTCTCTCTCTCTCTCTCTCTCTTTCTCTCTCTCTCTCTCTCTCTCTCTCTCTCTTTCCGCGAGGGATATCGGCTCTGAGAAAGAAAAAAAAATCAATCCGTGCGAATGGCGACGTTCGAGATACATTATGCATAACGATCGCGCAACTTGTCACCGCGATCTAGCTCTCTCGCGATTTTGCTCTTTTTTCGCGCTTCTCGATCTCACCTCACCTTGAGCTGGCCAGTTTTTATACTCTCCGAAGATATACATTATCGCGGGATATCACTTTGATCGCTTTGCCCGATTATGATCTCGAGGATGGCACGTCTTATCGAATCCTCGTGAGATATTAATTTTTTAGCTTTAAATAAATGAAATTTAACGAAGCGACAGGTCCAGAGATGTTATCTTAAGATATGATATTTGATTTGCCGTTTCAGAAAGAATCCGTTAATTTGCGCCTGGCATCGTTGCGTCGGCGATTACTCGACTCACTTCGATTCGAGGCCATTTCTTTAGCCTCCTCGAACACGGGGCTCGTACAATTGCTCTAGGTCATACGCGACATTCCGCGATCTCCTTTTCTTTTTTCTCTTTTTTTTCCTATTTTTTATTTTTCAATCGTCCAAAGGATTACGCGAGATAGCTTCGGCTATTAGCTGGAAGAAATATATATATATATAGATAGAAATATAAATATATATATATATATGTATATACATATATATATATATATATATATATATATATATATATAAATGAATGCGAAAGCAGGCTACACGCGTTTGTCTTTTTCGATAATCACGCTGGTTTTCTATCGATGCCAACTTAATGTGCCGGCGTAAGTCGATAAATTACTTGGCTCAGTTTGCGACGATCGATCGATCGTTAAACGTTTTCTTTAAATCGCATTTGGTCGCAAAAATCATTTGTGCGCGCAAAATCACAAATTCATGCCTGATCAATTGCGAAATGGACGGTGAATACGATCAGGAAATACGATCATGAGTAATATTCGTCGATTGAAGAAGAACGGGGTCCGTAGAAAAGAGGATATCTCGTTAGCCGCCAGGGACCTCTTTGAGCTTCTTACTTAGAACGGTCAGGATTAATTCATTTCCGATCCTTCGGCAACAGCCGGAAGGACGGCCAGGAAATTCATTTCCGTTATCTCTCGGTTCTCTTTGTTATCGCGTCGTTCCTTTGGTACTTCGGGACTTTAGGTACGACTTTTCTCTTTCGACGACAAAGTTCTCTCAAAAGTCTCAAAGGACCGACGAACTTCTTCTACATTACTTTTCAATTCGTAAAACCTTTACGAGGATTTTCTTCGCGTTCGATAAGAATCAACGATGCGAGACGCATGATTCTAATTTGAAATATTTTCTTATTTCTTGCAGAATGGTTATCCAGCGCGACGTCGTTCGCTCGTGGACGACGCTCGTTTCGAAACATTAGTCGTCAAACAGACTAAACAAAGCGTGCTCGAAGAGGCACGGCAACGAGCGAATGGTAAGTACCAAAGGCTACTAATCTACGTATTTATCGATTTTTCCTAAATGTACGCTTTCAATCTTCTCCGTTCGTTCTATATTGCTTATATGGTAGAATAGAATAGTATCGATGTTGCATGACACGTACGTCGTGTTTATCATTAAACAGATACTAGTGCCGATCCTTTATCCACTCAAGAGCAACAAGAAGGAAACGATGAGATTTACGTGGACGCGTCGAGCGACGAGGAACAAGGCGAGACGCTGATATGCGCGAGCAAGGAAGGAGGTAAGAAGAAAGGGAAGCAAACAAAAAATGAAATAAATGTTGTCCGTCAGGCACGTCGGCATGAGCACGTTACGTTTCTCATTTTCAGAAGCTAAAGCGGAGGCCTCATCGGATAGCGAAGAGAAGCCCGATGACGATTACGACGACGGTAAGTGCAATAGTTATATTTCGGTAAAAGAGAATAAGAGAAATCGAGTGATATTATATTAGCAATTTATCGCGAAATTTGCACGATGGAGCTTCGATGGAGGGAAGGGCTGATAGAGCGAGCAAAGAAATAGCGGAAAAGAGGATGTCGGGGTAAATGGAGGGTGAAATGAGGGTGAAACGAGGGTCATTGTCGAGGATATTTACCGGACCAAAGTGAGTCGAGTCAAGTGCTGGCTCGTCGACACTCACTCGCGTGAATTGACTCGACTAGCGGCTCTCTTTCCAAGTTCTTTCGTGCATTTAGAATCGTATTATCGTTTGAGGAAAGAGAGAGAGAGAGAGAGAGAGAGAGATCCTTTTTAAAAGGCGACGCGACGTTCTTGCGAGGTCACTCGGCATTCGAGACCTATAAACGTATAAAACGGTTATTTCTTCTCGTATTTTCATCTCTGTCCGCGAAGTCGGCACGTTCGCGCTCGACAACGAGAACCACTTTACTTCTTTTACCCAACCACTCACCACCACCATTGCAGCTGACGACAGAGAGCTCTGTCGGAAATGGACTACGAATCGCGCGATTATTATAGTTCGTTGCTTTGTCACTCGATGGTGCCGAGAATGCTCGCGGAGATAAAGAGACCGAGAGAGAGAGAGAGAGAGAGAGGGAGAGAGAGAGAGAGGAAGAAAATTTCTATTAAGGTCCTTTGATAGATAGGAAATGATAAAATCACTCGATAGAACCCTTTGTAGAACGCAAAGATATTTTTATTCTCTTTTTCCGATTTTTGTAATCTTATTTAACGTTGCTCGACTCTAATATCAAATTATGGAAAAGATAAAAGAGAGAAACGTTGTTCTCGACAGATGCCGGACTTACGGAAGAGGAAGTGGTGCTCGCAAAAGCGATAGCCGAGAGTCCGGAGAGCGAGCATGTTGTGCAAAAAGCCGCACTGGTGCTTCGTTTGCGCGAAGGCATAAGCTCTCTCGCTAGAATCCTGAAGACCATTGAGAATTTCAAGGGTACGGTTACTCATGTAGAATCGAGACCGTCGAAAAAGGAAGGTCACCAATTCGACGTCCTGGTAAAAGTCGACATGACGAAACAATGTCTCCTTCAATTGATTCGAAATCTTAGGCAAAGTTCCTCGTTGGACGGCGTGACTTTGCTCATGGATAATTCTGTCAGCGTCAAGGATCCGTGGTTCCCTCGCCATGCTTCAGATCTTGACAATTGCAATCATTTGATGACAAAGTACGAACCGGATCTCGACATGAACCATCCTGGCTTCGCTGATAAAGAATATCGAGCTCGTAGGAAGGTCATCGCTGAGATAGCCTTTGCCTACAAGTACGGCGATCCTATTCCCTCCATCCCATATACCGAGGTTGAGAACGATACTTGGTCTCGTGTCTTCAATACCGTCGTCGATTTGGTACCTAAACACGCTTGCGTCGAATATCAAAGAGTCTTCAAGAAGCTCCAAGAGGAAAAGATTTTCGAGAGCCATCGTATACCCCAATTACAGGAAGTCAGTAATTTCCTGCAAAAGAATACAGGATTCACTCTGAGACCAGCCGCTGGACTGCTCACCGCCAGGGATTTCCTTTCGAGTCTCGCTTTTAGAGTCTTCCAAAGTACGCAATACGTTCGCCACATCAACAGCCCGTACCACACGCCTGAACCGTGAGTGTCCCTTTTCTACCTACGATACCACGACGACGACGACGACGACGACGACGACGACGACGACGACGACGACGCGTATAAATCGAATCTTTGCTGTTTCTCGATAAAATCAATCGCTATTATTTTTGTACGGGACAGCGATAGCTTCGATCGATACGTAGCGTGTGTACATATATATATATATATATATATATATATATATATATATATGTGTGCGCGCGCGCGTGTACATGTACAAGGAGAGAGGGAGATGCACGAGGATGGAAGGGAGGTCCTGTAACGTTATTACCACGCTTCTCTAAGCTGGTAATGGAACTCTAATAGGCTTTTAACGATACGATGTCGCTGATAACTCACTTGCGCCCAGTTGCGAACTCTCTTTCCTCGTTTGTCCCTTGATTTTGAGAAACGACCAACTTGTAGCTTCTATCGAGCTCCCTGTCAAAAGCAAGCAAAATGAGAGAGGCTGAAGATAGATAGATAGAGAGAGAGAGAGAGAGGGAGAGAGAGAGAGAGAGAGAGTTGCCTTCGAATCGTCTTCGAATAACAATATCCTTTTCTTCTCAATAGAGACTGCATTCACGAGCTGTTAGGACACATGCCTCTGCTGGCCGACCCAAGTTTCGCTCAATTCTCCCAAGAGATCGGTCTGGCCTCGCTCGGTGCCTCTGATGAGGAAATCGAAAAACTCTCGACCATTTACTGGTTCACCGTCGAATTTGGACTCTGCATGGAGGGTGGAGAGGTGAAGGCTTACGGAGCAGGTCTTTTGTCTGCTTACGGCGAATTGCTTCATGCTCTGAGTGACAAGTGCGAGCATCGACCTTTCGAGCCAACGACCACAGCCGTTCAAAAGTATCAGGATCAGGAGTACCAGCCTATATACTTTGTCGCCGAGAGCTTTGAAGATGCCAAGGAAAAGTTCCGTCGTTGGGTGAGTTGTTGTCATCGAGCGAAAAATTAAAAAATGCTGTACCTCGAATGTAATTTTAACATAAAAGGCGTTTACATATTGGCTTGTTTCGTTTACGTACTCTTAAAGTTATGGCTTTCGTAAGAGCCGGAACCAAAACAGCATTCCGCTCGAATGTTTCAGGTGTCAGCCATGAGCCGGCCGTTCGAGGTCAGGTTTAATCCACACACGCAGCGCGTCGAAGTTCTCGATACGGTCGACAGGTTGGAGGGAGTACTTTCACAGCTGAATACCGACATGGCCCATCTTACCAACGCTATCGACAAAATCAAGCGTAACTTTGCCGCGTAAGAGAAAACCGATTAAGGAACCGACTCTCACTCGCACGATTATTGCGATATACGTTTATTCTCCTTCTTTTTTTTTCCTTTTTCTCTCTTTTCTTTTTCCTTCTCTTTTTTTTTCTTTTTTTAATCCTTAACCTATCGTATACAGAAAGTAGCGCTTCTTGTCCGTAGACATTGCCCAAGATAAACGCTTCTTTAAGAGGGAATTTCCTTGCACTCTCGTAGCATTCCCGGAGCATGCTCCGTTTTCCTTGCCGATTTACGTACCTACCTACCTACCTATCCATTGTGTCAAATAGGATAGATAAAAGTAACTTTCGAAAGGATCAAAGCTGCCAAGTTTCAGGAAAAAATCTTAATGGGTTTTATTATTGGAAATGGGAGAGAAAGGAGGAGAGAGAAAGAGAGAGAGAGAGAGAGAGAGAGACAAAAGTCGTTATCGAAATTAGGACTTTCTCGAGTTCCTTAAGTTTATCCCGCCGCGCTTTGTAAGATTCTTCCTTTACTTTAGAGACCTTCCGGGTACGATAAAGAATTTTTTTTGTCACCCCTATCATTCTCGTCCGTCCCACGCATCGAACTTGTCCTCATTTTTGTATAAAGTTATCTAATCATAATTCATTGCAGAGTTGTAGCCGGGTACGCGACGGAAATCCATTAAAAAGAAAGAAAATAAACTGAATTTATAGGACACTAATGTCCTTATAATACGGATACTCGAAGGAAAGTGAGTGCGAATAGGAAGGATACGTGCGTTACCAAGGTCGACTATGCCAATCTAATTTTCCACGTCATTGGTAAAAGTCGCGAGCGAGAGCGAGAAGGCACTTTTCATTGGCGAGACCGTCGTTGATTCGTTAGAAATCACGTGCTACGTCTTTGTCCGACTTACTTTTGAGCGAAAAATCGTAGCTCGTCGCGTCGAGCTTCAACGACCCTACCTAAGGCTTTTATTTTTTCGCGTTTACCCGCCTATACTTTGCGTTAATATAATCCACCGTATACTCGTATTTCTAACTAATATTTTATAATAATACAAATAATATTGTATTAGATTTCTCTCTTTGGTTTCTTTCCCCAGTAAGGTCTTTTGCAATCAATTTCGTTATATCTGCGTCTCACTGCGAACACTGTAAATCTTTCCATAAATGTGTCGCAGAGTTAGTAATAAGACTAAACACGCTCGAAAGTTTCTTTTTTTTTTCTTTTTTTTTTTTGTTCTTTTTGTTTCTTTTTGAACACCTTTCGGAAGAGCGATCAAAGTATCTTTAATGCCGAGGCAGAATATTTATGACGTTTCGGCGAAGACCAAAGGAAAAGGAAGCAAAGGAAGAAAGAGATAAGCTTACGATCCACCGATGTTGAAGAATCGACGTTACGTTATAGAAGAATATAGCATATCCCTTACGCGTAGTTAGTGGCGTGTATCTTCGCTTATTGTTAGTGTGTATCCCGCACATCGACCAATCATCACTCTCTTCCAAAAGTTTTTGCTAACTCGTACAAAATACCTCCTCGTATACGTAATACGTGTGTGTAGTACTTGTTAAGCTGTAGCAAAAATGCTCCAACTATATAAAGCATTTACTTTGTATTATACTGTATAGTATTCGGAGCATAATAATAAAGATATATATTAGATGTGTACCTAACGCGTCGTTTGTTGAATTAAAAGCGTACCTATATTGTATTTTGTTGAAAAATCTCGAAGATTTAAATCCTAAATAAAGAGTTTTCATCTCAATTCTGTTCGCCGAGCTTTAGTCATAATAACATATCCTCTTTCATCCTAATCGGAATAAATGTGAGTTAGTTTTAACGAGGTTATGATTAGGAAATGATGATCGATGGATCGATCGAAAACTATCGAATCTTATGATCGGTCGAAAGACCGAAGGAACGAAGAAGAGAAACGTCAGCTCGATTCGTTCGGTGAGTATTCTCGTAAATGCTTGTCCTTCGGACAAAAGAGACACAATGAGGTTCGAAAGGAGGTGCATCGTACCACGTTAAGAGACAAAAAAAAAAAGAAAAAAAAAAAAGAAAAAAAAATAAGGAAAAGAAAAGAAAAGAAAGAAAAGAAAAATAAGAAAATAGCGGTGCGACAGCATCGGGCCGATTATGAAATTTCTGCCTTTCGTTTTCGGCGTGTTGGTCGGCGGACTGCTGGAGTGCGCCGACGCGAAGATGTGGACTGACGGTGACAGTAAGTGAAAGCGACGGATAATCGATCTCGACTTCCTCGTTTCTGGCTTCCAGATCGTTCGGATGAGACCTTTCGCATCTTCGTCTGGATCGCTCGTCTCAAGCGTCTTTCCTTGATCGCCATCATGTTGCTCAGCGTGTTACTTTATTACGTACCCGAGTCGCGTTCTCGTGAGTAGCGAAATAAAGGAGAACTGAATTTTAAAAAGAGAGTTCATGCATATAACTGTATATATATATATATATATATGATATATGTACATAGATAGAATTATTTCTTTGTTAGACGTACGAAAGGCTTGTTGCTTCTTGATCGATTTCGTGGCGGATGGATTGAAATTTGCGCTTCGTCCTACCGACAGCGATTACGGAAGGAAATTGAAAGTTAAGAGACGAAGATCGCAAAGCGAACAAGATAATCAACGGAGAAGGCGCATATACGAGAAAAGCAAAATCCCGACGAACGAAGGGTCATCTTGGTTGGTCTTTGGACATGGCTCGAACGCGAATTATTCAAACGACAAATGGACAATTTGTAGGTATCGAGGGAGCACGAGATCGCGTACGAAACGTTTTGGGCAAGATGGAAAGTATCAAAATCGTCGCCGGGATCAACGACGTTATCGCGAGGTTATCGGGAACGATGAGAGCTGCCTCGACTTGTCACCTTTCCTACAAAATCAATATCAGCAGAGGCGTGCCGTTATGACGCGGAATGACATGGCTTCTGTCCGTTTGAAAAAGGAATGCACGGTTGATAATCCGTTTAAATATCGGGAGGATGTTTCGTACTCGGGCCAGAAATTCCCTATAGAATATGAGGAAGATAATGCGCCAACTGATACGGTTAATAAATTCGTTTTGTTCCCTTTACGATCGTACATCGTTTTGCCAAACAATATTCTCCTTTCTATTGCAGAATGTATCGACAAATTATTACGATTTGCCGAGCGACAGGTGAGCAAAGAGAGAGAGAGAGAGAGAGAGAGAGAGAGAGGGAGAAAGAGAGAAAGATTATTCCCCGGAGTCTCGGACAATGATCGGACAATATTTTCATTTAGGTTCGATCGAAACGTCGCCGATGTCACGACTTATCCTACGTTGCGAGAAATTATAGGGGATAACAAATTTTTCATGGACAAGAGGGAAGAGAGATCGATCGTTGATTTTAAAGGAAAGACGACGGTCCGTAAGAGACAAATACCGGGAATACGGCTAATGCACGGTGATACGATACCGGAGACGTCGTACAACGAGAGCTCGTACACCAGTTTAGAAGCGGAAGCGGACGACGAAAATTCTCAATGCGGAAATGAAATTGCGCCGGGGACAAAGTTTTCGAAGGAAGGAGACGTCGAGGAAGCGACGACGACGACGACGACGACGACGACAACGAGTACGTCGATGGCGCGGCAAACGATTGGAGGATACGATAAGAATACTTTTATCTTTTTCCTTTGTTTTTCCTTTTTTATATAACATTTTTAATATATAACAGATCTACGACGCGATTATCGTTATCTTTAATAATAAACCATTGTAAAGAGAGGAAGGAAGTACGTATAAGGAAATGAAATATACGGCAAGGCAATTGAATATTCAAAAAAATGAAAAAGGAGGATTAACGAATCGGATTGTCGGTTATTCAGATCCCAGGGGAAATTCCTTGTCGCGTGCCGTAAAGTGGATCTTTGGAGGATGTCCGGGAACGTGCCGACGTCTCTCGCCAGGAAAGCCGGGGAAGAAAATGGAAGAGAGAAAACTAGTCGGAAAGGAAGAGATTTGCGAAAAAGTAAGCGGTGTCATGGACGAGTGGCTCTACTTCTAGCGAAGAACGCGAAGCAGAACGGGTTGCAGCCGGTAAACGCGGCCTTCTTCCTTACCAATCGTCATTGGTTCTAGAAACGCGCGAGAAATTAAAAATAAGACTCGACGACGAACGTTGCGCCTTGCATTCATTTCTCCGACGCTTGTCAAATTTTATGTCACGCGCTATTACAATAGATAATAGATATTTTTGCAGACTTTATTTAGAGTTCCTAACTTTCTATCATTTTAATGACTAATGCAAGGATAGTTGTCGATTGACATTGATTGACGAAAGGAACGACCAAAGTGCGTTGCTTTGTTTCGTCAAAATTTGTTCGCTCGATCGGGAGCAAACATCATTATTTCTCGTAAAAATTATCGATGCGAGACGCTCGTAAAGTTTTGGCGCGAGCGTTAAACGTGCTCGAACGGAGAAAAATCGACTCGTGAATTGGCGAGAGGGTTGCTTTGCGCGTTCACTCGTGTGCTCTCTCTCTCTCTCTCTCTCTCTCTCTCTCTCTCTCGAGTTACCGGAAGTGAGCTATCGCGCGCCTAGTATTCGTGGCTTAAGAGCAATAAAGGACGCGTCGGTCTCCGGCGACGAGCGAACGAAGAGAGAAAACGGGCCGAGACAGTCGAGCGGAGGCCAAGAACCGCGTCGGATCGCGAACGCCGTCCCCGTGGAATTGTCAGGAAACACGTGACACGCTACTGGACCTCGCGACGAGACGCAAACGACTCGTAAAAGAGATCGAGAGAGAGAGAGAGAGAGAGACTGAGATCCACTTTCGCTCGTCAAAAACATTTGCTCGCGCACGATTTTCCACCGAAAGATGTACTTTTTCTACTTCTTTCTCCGATCGCACGTCAATGTTTCCTGTGAAATCGTCGATCAGCTTCTAAGTTGAAAATTTCCTACGAGTTTCCTACGATCGAGCAAAGGACAATACAAAGTACGGTAAGTCATAGAAAAATGACGCAGTGAATGAAATCGTCCTACGATCAATTACGATCTTTTGAGAGTATAACGTGGCGTAAACGTGGCCAAGTATCGCTCCGATCGAATATCTTAAATTACCGATGAGATCGAGATCTTCGGCCGAGTTTCTCGGCATGAATCAGAGACGATATCTCGGACGGTATCGAGTCAAAAGTCGTTGTTCCAAATATTAAGATTTTCGATGCGTGAATCACGATCGACTACCGAGCGATACTAAATTTCCTTAGATCCGTTGGCGCGCCGCCAAGATCGCGGGGCCCCGAAGAATGGGAGCGTGCGATACCATCTCTGCGAAAGAGAAAACGCGCGACTACTCGCGTGAACTTTACTTTTCGCGCGAACAAGGAAAATTCGCTCTGCTCTTTCGAGAACATTAAACGAAGGAAGATCTTACGAAGAGATACGTATGTATCTACTTATGTTCACCGTAAAAATAATATCGGAAAAATAATATGGAAAAACGAGAATTGACAAAAATGAATCGTTCTCTCTTTTTATCTCTTTTTTATTTACAATATATTCTCATTTATATAGTTATAAATCAATATTATTACGTGTTATATATAATCGATCTCTTTCATACACAATATACGTATATATATATATGTATATATATATGTATATACATTTCAGTTAATTCCGCTTTGTATTTATAATATGAATATCTTACAATATGAATATACACATCAATAACATATTTTTTCTTTATTTCTCTTGACTATATTTATAGTCTAGGCTTACGTTTGATCTTTCTAATTTACTCGTAGTTAGATATTACTTGGATTTTCCTTCACTATATATTTATTGTATATGTATATTTCGTAAATTTATGCTCGGAAGCTATCTCTCGGTTTTTCTCCTTTTGATTTCGCGATCTTCTGCCGGAGATGGAAGAGGCCCGCATAAATTTCCGGGGAATGATATTCTCGCGAGACATTGCATTGTTGGACGACGAAACGAATTCTCTAGATTCCTCGAGACATGTGCGAAGCGTTCTATTAATGTAACGCATCGGATCTCCCATGCTCTCTCTCTCTCTCTCTCTCTCTCTCTCTCTCTCTCTCTCTTTTTCCAATTGCTTCTCCCGTTCCACCCTTCTCCTGCCTTCTTCCGTTACTTTTCCTCCTCTTTTCCTTCCTCCCGTTCTCCTTCGTTTCACCCTGCGTCGTTAAGATGGCCGGCAGAGCGTCGCCCTGAGAAGAGAGCCGCCGTGTTTAAACCGTGCTTCGTGTATAAGAGAGACGAGGGAGGCGGGGGGAGAGACAGAGAGAAAGGAAGCGAATGCCTTTGCGAGATCCTCCTCTCGAACTTGCTTCCGTTTCGATTTCGAATGGGAGAGACATGAAACATATTGTAAATGGGTCGAAATACGGAATGCCTAGCGAAGGACTAGAAGCTAGTCTCTTAGATGGGATCTAGTACGTCGTATGAAATGTCATTGATACGATCATTCCTCCTCTTACTCTTCAGTCACTCTCTCTCTCTCTCTCTCTCTCTCTCTCTCTCTCCTTCTCATTCTCGTTCAGAGATTAAGTCGATAAAGCGAAATCGATTCCTGTATATGAATGTGACGATAAAATCAATAGAAATTTACTGACGGTACTATGAAACTTTACGTTTGTGCTTCACCCGATTTTAACTCTTTTCGATCGGAAAGTATCATATACGGTAGTAAGAATAACGATCATCCAATAAATTCTTCCAAAAAAGTTTGGTTTAATTGTCTGGTAGGAAATGTAATGAAATTGTAAGAGTAGTAGAGAGGAGCATGTTGAACATTGAAAAGATCCAACGTAAATAAGTACTTTTTTATTCCTTCCTACGAAAGACCAAATAATATCGTAAGCGCATCGTCGCAATGATAATCGATGGCCGATCCATTTTAGAGAGACACTCACTAATTACGGTAACCAAAAAGACCTTTGCCATGGTCCTATTACATGTGTCCTTTTTTTTCCTTCGCAGTGACGAGTGCACGGAGTATGACGTCAAATGCAATTAGGGGTATCCGAAGGAAAAAGAGTTCGCTGTGCGAAGTAAAGGTGGCCGTTATCGGAGCGCCTGGAGTTGGAAAAAGTGGTGAGTATGAAATTAACTTTGTTTCGAATAATTAAGTAAACGAATAATTAAGGTAAATACGTACCCTTTCGTAATACCGAAAATGCAGGACGCTTATAACTTTCCGATACGTCGAACGCGTTTTTGAACGACTCTTTGAACACCGTTCCTTCTTCGGACTTTATCAATAAGCTCTATTTCTACGAAGATGAAAATTACGACGGTCGTTTGGCGAATTTGGCGCGACGCGCTAAAGACCTTGGGCCAATAACGACAGGCGGGACAGACGAGTAGTCGAGAAGTCGAGTTTTCGCGTTTGACGAAATTAATTAGCAATTTGTCCAAATATAAAATAAACATAAAGACGAAGAAGACCCTAAAAATATTTTCCGAAGAGTGATCGTAAAGACGTGAAATATATCCTTAGTTCGAACTCGATCGTAATGTTCTCGAAGAGAGACCGAAAGGAGGATCGGAAGATTCAAGTGCAAGTGCGACGGAAGCCTCCTTGCGACGTTAGCTAAAGCGAGAAACATGCCGCGATAGCTCGGAGGACCCTGAGAGCAGCCAACCCGGGTGTATTTTTGGTAATGGCACGTGCTAAAGACAGGTAGGAGAGAGTAAATAATCGCTCGACTCAACAACGGTTACTCTCGCTGCGGCGTTTCTTCTATTTATAATGTTTTATTTCGTATTCCAACAAATCGTAAAAATGTTCAATAAAAAATATACTTAGATAATTGACAAGTATCAGAGAATTCTTATCGTCGATCGATTCTCCCGTAAACGTGAATTTCTCGTCATCGAGGGAGATAATGTCTGCTACCTATGGACGATGGAAAATACGTTTGTTACGATGGAAATGTCGCGATGGACTCTTTCGAATTATCTCGTCGATGGAAACCTATTGAAATCATTTTTCATTTCGAAGTGCTTTAATTCTCGCGAAATATTCTATTTCGCTTGCCTCAAACCTTTTATATACGATAATATCCATCGCTATTTCGTTCTTTCCTAACGAAAATTTTACAATATTTAGAGGCTTTTACATGCTAAGCTCGCTCCTTCTTCCGGCTATAGATCATTATTTCACTTATTTCACCGTTTCTTAATATGCTTCTTTCTCCTCCTTTTAATATTATCACATTTGGATAGCAACAAGAGTGGGGAGGTGGGGCGGGAGAAGGTTCAAGTTCACTCTTCATCGTCGACATCCTATTTGTAATAAAAGTCCGATAAACTCTCTTGTCTTAATAGCAATCTGCAAAGGCAGTCTGTGATTGATCGTGTTGAGAGATAACAATAAAGTTTGAAATATTTTCTTTCGAAACTCGAGCGATAGGAAATAAATGTCGAGAGTAATACGACGGGGCAAGGAACGAATCATCGATAGAGCCGAATCGCGAGGCTGTCTGTCACCCGATCTGACTCGAGATGAAAAGGCGCCGCGCGCCTCGCCGCTTTGGCGTTAACGTAGCGCTCGTGCAAGGTTTTGTGGCGCCACGGCAGGTTCGAGTTCGAGGTAAAAATAGTGTGGTATACCTCGAAGCGGGTCACTAGGTCTCTCCTTCTTCTTTCTCCTCCAGCTCGAGATATCGAGATAAACGAAGAGAGCAGCGCGTTCATTGAAATTAGAACGAATCGATCTTTTAACAAAGAAAAAAGAAAAAAAGGAACTTGTCCATTTCGTACAATTTTTCTGACAAAACGACACGACTATCGTCTATCTATCTTACAATTACAATTCGATGAAATAAAGATCGATCTTGGAGAGGTCGAAACATCGTCGTCTAATAAAAATGGAAGGAACGAGAAAGGATAGGCGCGCGTCGAAGCGTTTTAAAAGCTTCGAACGTTCGAAAGATGTGTCAGGTGGAACTCGTCGTTCATTCTTATCCTCGAGGAAAAACGTCTACGCTGACACGCGTAACGAACTCGTTTGCCACGGAAAAGGTTACGTTATAGCCTACAAGCCGTCACTTCTACATATGTATCATTGGTGAAACGCAAAAGCGGAGAAGCAATAGAAAAAAAAAGTATTGTGTTACGCGCGTATCGACGTTGCCTCGGTTACATACATGCTCGACGATGTAATTCGATCGTAAAAATATCTATTCGAGCCATTCTTTCCTTCTCTTTTATTATACACTTTTTCAATTTTGTCATTCGCATTGCTTTGTCGTAATTTTATAAAATGTACCAACTGGATCTAATCACTTGTTAAAGCTCGATGCGTAGAAAATATTTTTGTATTGTTTCTTAACGAGAATACTCGTAAGATAAATCTTTATATCCCACGTAAGAAAAAGAGAAAAGAAAAATGAATTTACTCAATAGCAAAATTTGACGATCGTCCAATATCACTGTTACTATTAAACAAAGCGTGGGTGCCAAGTGAGAAACACAAATGTTAAGACGAAAATGATCAGACTGCGTATGAATCTGTTATCGATTCCCGTAATCGTAAATACCGATACGACATAAATAATGATCTGACTATATGTTTTTGTTATTTTACAGCGCTGACGGTGAGGTTCCTAACGAGACGGTATATCGGAGAATACGATCACCAATCTGGTAAAGCAATTTACTATTTTCTATCATTTCTTTAAGCGATTGTTACATAGATCCTTAAACAATAAGTGACAATAGAATGAACCGTTTTCTGAAGTATTGCCAACGGCTGTAACCGTTTCTAAGACCGCGACTCTCTCTCTCTCTCTCTCTCTCTCTCTCTCTCTCTCTCTCTCTCTCTCTCTATCCCTCTTTGCATTCCTCCGACCGCGTCTGGTCTAAATTTATCAAAGACGAATTTGACACTAGACAGGACGGGTACTAATGCGAGGTTGATACTCGAAGGAAGAAATTTTCTCTTTTTGTAGAAATACGTAGACTAAGTACACTTACGTACGTAAAAACGATTTCGAAAGAGAATCAGGCGTGATCATGCGGTGAATTTGAAAATAAGTCATCTACTCGGCCGTCCTACGTTTCTAATCTTCTCTTGATACAAGAGCTACACACACACACATATATATATATATATATGTGCACACACGTAGATCCATTTTCAACGAGGGATATCATTTTTGTTATAGAAAACAGATACAAGCACGAAGTGCTGGTGGATGGAGAACCAATTCTTTTTGAGATCTTGGACTCTTGTCCGAAGGTAATATCCATTTTAGCGCGATATTATATCGTGGTAGAATAAATATACTTTCAGCTTCTGGAAAGTTTATAAAAAGTTTATATTTGTAGAAATGTGGAAATTAGATATACAAACGCATCTAAAATATACGTGTACGTATTTAAAAGATGTTACGATCTTTCAGAGCGACGACGAAATGCCTTCGATGGAAACTTTGCAGTGGGCGGACGGCCTGCTGCTCGTTTATTCGATAACGGATCGTACTTCTTTCAATTTCGTGAGAAAAGCAAAAGAAGCTTTGGCAGTGGCTGATCCGGAGGCTGCGATGCCTCTTGCCATGGTTGGAAACAAAGCCGATATGGTTCATCTCAGACAGGTCAGCGCGGAAGAAGGGGAGATCTTGGCTAAGGACTTTGAATGTTGGTTCAGCGAAATTAGCGCGGCAGAACAGGTATATTTTTTCCGATCGATCGGACTTATCCGTCTTTGAAAATCAATGAAAAATCCTAATTTACACAGGTCGTCCAAGTAGCCGAATCGTTTCACGAATTGTGTCGCGAGGTTCTCGCTGCCAGACGAAGAAACAAGCAGTCCTTGCTCGACAGGATGCTCGGTAGCAAGGCAACGAGAACATATTCGAGGGGTAAAAGCGATTCCGCGTTACCCAAGGATTAATAAATACTTTACCTTTAATAGGGTAGGATTTTCTGTCGATTGCGCAGAATCGAACAAGCAAGCGAGCGAGCGAGCGAGCGAAAGAGAGAGGTTCCCAGAGATGAAAGAAGACTCGCGTTGCGTGCGAGTCGATAAAAAATCAGGCGCCAAAGATTGTATCATACTGTTAATATTTTTTATCCAATACCATTTCTACTACGTAGAACAACTACGTCCTGTACAAGTTTTAATAACGCACGTTTATAAAGTAAGTTATCTTTTGCCAATGGATGAAAAACCTCGTGATTCGTTTTATTTCGTAGTAACAGTTTGACGGCCAAACAAACATTTCACTAAAAGTCTATCGCAATCGCAGTTTTCGCCGAGTTCTTCGAGCGAAAAAATATATATATATATATATATATATATATATATATATATATATCCATAATTCCATCGAACGTAGTCTCCTTCATAGTAGATGCTTCAGAAGGAAGCATCGCTTTCCCAAAGTGCGTTGATTAATGAATTATCGACGAATAATTACACCAGAGACAAGTGATTAAAGGCTGTAGGCTTTGTCGTAGGTTGGTAAACGGTATCGAGAAATAACGGCAAAGTGTTAATAAATTCACGACTTTGGAAAGGTCCATCATCGATTGGTTTATAATCTTCGGTTCGATCCAAGGCTTTTGGATATTAAGCACAGACACCTACCACGGCTAAAATTTGGCAAAAATGGTCAAAGGTGTAACGATCGATTTATAGATATTTATTTTGTACTTACAATAAGAAAATGTGAAATAAATATTTTACTTATTTATTATAGTATCGAAGAGATGTGTTACTCTATATCCAGTTAGACTCTCCAATCATATTTTTCACAGACACACGAACAAACACAGCCATCGCTCAAGATTACGTAGATATTTACAGATAATACGAATCATTTACTTAGCGTCGTCGTAAGTCTCTAAAACGTCCGCTAAATGTTCATTGTCTCTTGGCTTTTTAAACTGTTTCCTCTTAGTATTCGGCTTCTTTCTTTTAACGGGTGCCAATTTTTTCGGGCCATGATCTTGCATCGATCTGATTCCCTGTTTTTCCAGATATTCGTCAATTTTCTGGTCGTCCATTGCATCTACCGCCACGGCTCTCCACAATTTTTGAAATTCCTCGTCGATAGGAAAATGAGCCGTTTTATCGTTGTAAAAGACGATTTTTTTTTTGTCAAGAGGCCGCGTTATAAGTAATATTTCGTTTTGTAAGCTCTGCAATGACAAAAATATCGCGGATTAATAATTATTTAAAATATTAAAGAATAAAATATTTAACGATAATTGTACCTTTAAATGCTTATCGCAATGCGGTAAACTTTCTTGTATATCTTCTAATAAAATTCCCCCAAGTCCCTTCAGATCTTGTTGCTTTAAAAGTCTCAAAAGCGATTTCTTGTCCTTAATTTTATACATAGCTTTAAACGCAAACCTACCATCCGGTGTAACATCTATTTTAGGATTTTTTAACAATGCCTCCGTCTGAAGCCACGTTTTTACCTGCGACAGAATAGTAAATAGTTGTTAGTAATAGTAAGACGACGATATAGTTTGTCGTTAAATCTAACAAGATAATAATCTTACTTTAGATCCTACGTCTAATTGATTAGTTTCGTCCAAGATTTCTTCTAAAGTTAACGGATGATCATCCCCATCTTGATGCCTGGCTCTCATATGCTTAACTATTTTTGCCAAAACACCAAATTTGTATTGGGTACTCCCGGCCATGGTTTTGTAATTGACCATATCCAACTTTGGTCCGGTCGAAACTGTCGAAGGTTTTGGCTTTTTTTTATGGGGATCATCACGACTGGTATCTTTTTCTTGTTCCTTCTTTTTCTTCTCGACGCTGCACATATTACATACATATTTATTAATAAGTTTCCAATAAGATAAAAAGAGTTCTCAGAGAAGAGAGGCACAATATTATAGGTTAGACGATAAGATCAACTTACGTTGGCGTAGTTAGGGCCCTTTTCTTAAAGAGCTCTCGCTCCCTCAACAATGCTGGATCCATATTATCAGGAATTATTTATCAGGAAGAATGGTCGGTGCTTGAAATGATTCCTTTAATTCGAATTAAAAAATCAGACGAAACAAACGCAGTCCCGAGTTCGTCTGTTGACGCGAAGGGTGCGCTAGTAGTGCGCTAGTGTGCTACACAGGTGACGTCATGCTGTCGACTTTGCAACCCGCGCGATTCTAACGAGGAGAATATTTTTCCTAATCGTTTGATCGATCGTTTATAACAACGTAAATATAATACAGATCAATCGACTTTCGATTCGTCGGACCTTAATTCGCTTCATAAACATTATATATATATATATATTTTCTTTTTCTTTTGAAATAATCACGATGCCAAAGAATCGTAATGTTTTAAAACGAATCGTATTATTACTGGTAAAAAGTCAACGGAACTCGAATCGTTTCGAAGCACGAACTCGGCACGAAACTCGAAATTTGACAATTTACGACGTGACACTGGCAATCAAATTTTAATGTCGCGAAAATTTGAGATTAAATTTCATTTTCGAACTTTCACTCGAGAAGACTGTAATTTCGAATGATAAAGACAATTATTTTAATCGAGCAAAACATTCAAGCTGATTTTAGATGAACTATCATGAAGTAAGAATACTTAAGAAGCAAGGGCCATTGGATATGAGCCCAGATCCAACCCCGGTGCTTGTGGTAAGTGAAAAACGATTAGCCTCTCTTTTCCGCTTTATTCTATTTTCTATTCAGGCAAACTGTTATAAATAAGACGATTGAAACGAGCGGATCTTCCAAACCTTTGGATGGATCGTCGCGGTTTAAAGTGTTAAAGTTAATCGATCGGAATGGTTGTTAACGTTCTACTTAAAAAGTCAAAAGATGCGACGATTCTCTTTGCTTTCGTATTTTTCGGAAATACCAAACTTCTCGACGTAAACTGTCATTGGTAAACATATTATAAAGGGGTTTGGCCTAATCTAAAGTTTCTTCTTTGCGACTCTTTGGCTAGCGCTCTCTCTCTCTCTCTCTCTCGCTCTCCCTCCCTGGATCTCCGCCTCTTTGCTCACAGCAAAGCATATAAAAGTTCACGCGTTTCGATAGTCGTCGGGAGTCGAGAAGAGAAGGAGAGAAAGTAACTCCGTGGATTTAATCAATGATAGTTGATTTTTACAAGGCTTTAACCTTCTATAACGACTTTCTTTTAAAGTCGCTATCTTATCGATGGCATTGGAGTAGAATCATTCAGATTAATAATATAAATTATCTATGCGAGAGACTCTTCTAAACTCTCGTAATACGTATATAAATCGAATAAAAATTATTATCTTCCAAGATTATATATAGGCTCGCATATTTTTTTAACAACTACAAGGACAAGGAATTAATTATGATGTCTTTTTTTTTTTTTATCATTGAATAACTATCGGAAGGATTTGGATGCGTTTAAAGGTAAATCACTCGATCGACGACTGAGATGAACCGAGCAAGTATCCTCCAGATGCAAAGTATCTCCGAAAGGATCGCTGCCTTGGTGTATCTCTCGTAACATGCGCGTTAAGCATACGCTTCTACCTCGAACCGATGTGGCAGTGTTGATGGCGGTGCTGGCGGTGGTGGTAGGTGGAGAGCGATGGCGGTGGCGGTGGCAGCGGCGCGCATCGGAAGCTTCAGAAAAGAGGGGTAGTTTCTAGCGTCAGACGCGAGTCGCGTTTTCATCTCTCTTGTTCCTCGTACTATCTTTTCCTTTTTTCTTTTCCTTTTTTCAGGAATTTATTATTCAGGAACAATCAATTTTCTCGTCTTTACAGCAGACTAATCCATATACGTATCTAATGATTCGAGCAAGTATCATTGATCGATCGAACGAATTATATAATTAGAATTAATCGTTTGCGAGAGATTATATGGATAATATTTAGGATAAAAACGAAATTAATCCTTTACGGACGAGCGAATAAAAGTCGAGGGAAAATAATTTTTGATCGAAGCAGAGTTAGGACGTCGAAGCCGTCGCTAGTAGTACTGTGCCAATGACGCTGCCGACGAAGCGGTGGACGGGGCGGCATAGAGGGGAATAGAATATACGGAGGAGGAGGAGGAGGAGGAGCAAGAGGAGAGGGAGACCAAGAGCGAGAGCAAGCGACGGTGGGGTTCGGCTGCTGGATACGCGATGGGCCGATGGGTAGATGGGGTGGGTCGCGGTGGTGCTCGTTTAAGAGAGAAAGAGACGAGGAGAGAAGGAGCAAGAGAAGTGGGAGGACGGGGAGAGTAGGGATGCTGGGGCGGTTCAAGCGAGAGAGCGAGTTGACGCAAAGTAGCGTACGTCAGTTTGTGTCAGACAACGGAGCACGGAAGATGCTCCCGGTTCTTCGCGAAACGGATGGACCGTCCTCGGTACCGAGGTCTCGACGTCGTCGCCGTGTCCGCGCGACGACGAGGTCGAATCCGCGTCGTCGAGGTACCGCCTCTTTTTCCTCCTCCTCCTCCTCGACCTCCCCTTCCTCCTCTTCGTCTTCCTTCGATTTTCGCGAACTTCTCGAGAGGAAAGATGCCGAGAACGAAATCGAAGCCGAAGAGATTATTATTCGAGGCTGGAACGGAAGGAGAGCGAGTGGTATCGTTAGACCGGTCAGTACCAGCACCCTCATGACCACGGCGTTGACTCTTCTCTTGATTCTACTACCGGCTGCCTTCCCGGATAAGATCAACATAGGTGAGTGTGTGTGCGAACGATTCGTGTCAGGCAGGTAGGAAAGGTGTTGGCGTTTTTTCGTTCGCTCGTTCGTTCGTCGTTCGTTCGTTCGTTCGTTCGTTCGTTCGTTCGTTCGTTCGTTCGTTCGTTCGTTCGTTCGTTCGTTCGTTCGTTCGTTCGTTCGTTCGTTCGTTCGTTCGTTCGTTCGTTCGTTCGTTCGTTCGTTTGTTCGTTCGTTCGTTCGTTCGTTCGTTCGTTCGTTCGTTCGTTCGTTCGTTCAAGGGTACTCGGGGCTTCAGCGACGACCACGACCGAAACAAAGACGAAGAAAATTTGTGCCGGAGATATTAATAACCGTCGTTCAGCTTTTGTTATCTAGTTTTGTTTGAAGGGTGTCCCGTTACCGCTCTACGTTACCGCTCGGCGGTAGTTAGTTTCGAGAAAGTGGCCCTTAAAAAGGTCGTTTTAGAAACTAGTCCAAATAATCGTCAGCGAGGAAGGGCCGACAAACGACATGAAGAATGCTCCCGCACTTTTTCTCATCAAAGATTAGATAACAGCAGGTGGCAGTGTTGACCGAGCACCGGCAAAGATACCTACCGCTTCATTGTCGGAGCGGTGCGCTTAAAGAAATGTTTCATGCGTCGCAGTTGGCGCGATGCGTCCGCAAACAATGTATGCACTCGTGTATCCACGAACGACGCGAGGTTCCTTCGAAATTTCATATAAATAGGAGATAGGTCGATGGAATTCTCCTTTTTTCCTTTTATCCTTTTTTTTTTCTTTCTCTCATTTGCCGGCAATGAATACAAATTGAAAGTTAAATCATGCTGCGCTAGATCGGCCGGCGTACTATCAAAATAATCCGATAGTTTCGAAATGGCGAAATGTTAGTTATTCGTTTGCGTGTGCGTGCGTGCTGGCGCGCGCGCGCTCGTTAACTGCACGAATTAGGTCGAAAGCCGATTCTCGATTTCGAAAGAAGAAAAAGGTAACGACGCTTCGCGTCACCGATAACCCGCACACGACCTAACAAAACGATTTTTTCGCACTTCGCTTATTCCCTTTCATACGATCGCCCTTACGAGGATCGTCCTCGTTCGCGTGCTTCCTTTCGAAAGTGGTAGAATCGCTGACCGAAATACATGGCATCGTGCATCTAGGGAAAATGAGAATGTGATATTCGGTTAAAAGCCTCTTGGATTACCATCAATGCGGGTTTCAGAGTCGTAGCGCTAGAACTTGCGGGAAATGAAAGAAAGGGAGAAAGAGGAGGAGCAGAAGGTGTAGGTGGTGCGCGTTGAGCGACGAGCGAATGATGAATGCCCATAGAAATGATGATGTCTCCCTCGCACCCGTGTGTCCCTCTGGATATGTAGACGAAGAACCACGACCGGTAAAGTCGAGGAAAAGACGAAGAGGCGACGACCGAGGTCGTGCCGTAGATGAGGGAGAAAGGCCTAGGTGAGGGATGAGAAGGTTCGTTGCCTCGCCAATTCGCATCCTTTGCCTGACTTTCTTTTTACTCTTCTCTCTACTCTTCCTTTTTTACCCTTTTCTTCAGGCGCGCTCGAAAGGTTCGCAAAAAAGCCGCGCATACTACGCAAGAGAAAGGGAATAATGAAAACGGTCGAATGATCCGGTATAACATTATTTAATTAGTCCGTTCAATCGTCCGCGACTGAATCTCGAATGGAGTAACCGCGTAGACCGTTATTATTGGGTTGGTTCGCGCAAGGAATGGGGAATCGTAGGATAGCTTGCATCTTTCGTTTGTTCGAGCGTAGCGGTCGGGAACGTTTAACGACGAAATCGTGCGGGAGCTTACGATTACTCGTGGGTACGAGACCTAACTCTTCGAAATTCGTCTGAGATGCGTAAATAAAGCGTATGCTTGCATCTACCCACACACACACACACACACATACACACACACATATATATATATACATGGTTGCATATCCCTCGTACGGGCGAGGAGAGAAGCTCGCGTGCATCTCGTCGTTGGCTCGCGAACACGACGAGAATAACGTTGACGTGTACTGCCTTTGTAATAGAAGGAAGGGCATCTACCACTCAAGCCGACCTGCCGTTCGCCTAATACGATTAATAGCACGGTGCTAACAGACAAGGGAGACAGCTCTTCCCTCCACCCTCTTACCCACCTTCTTCTCTCTCTCTCTCTCTCTCTCTCTCTCTCGTGCGCTGCGAACGCCACCGAAGAATTTGCCTTTCGTTACCAGAGACCGGCGGACGAAATCGAATTTTCGTAGAGCTGGAATGGGCGAGGGAAAACGCGAGACACATAAAGGCAGAGGAGGAGAAGGAAGAAGGACAAAGAGAAGGAAGAGGAGGGTCGTTAAATTCTCTCGCGCGACGATCGATAGTCTCGTCCAAACGTCGTGTCGTCCGAAAGTCAGGATCGGTCCTCTTCGTCTCCATCTCGGATCGAAATATCACTAGCTTGGTCGATTTCGAATCTCCCGCCGTTCTCGTTCGCGAGATCTTACGCGCGCTTTACGACACGAATACGAC